ATGTAGGTCTGTTCGGAGCACTTTCCTGGTGTGTGCAGGGCTCTGGGTTTGATCCCCTGAAGCAGAAGCTGGAAAGTGGAAAGGATAAGACCTTTGGAAGCTGTGTCTTTAGCCAAGTTGTTTGGTCCTTTTGAGAGCAGTTGCTCCTCTGTAAACTGAAGCGAGCTGCATCTCAGTCAGTGATGACAGTGTATGAGAAGACCCAGCCTCTCCAGTTCTGAAACTGATGTTGAGGCCCAAGCCTCGAGTAAAGAGGCAGAGGGAGGAAGTGGTGTGGAGACAGAACGATCCCCTGCACCGAAGTCACACCCACAGTGGTCTTTGTCTCCTGCACATGTGGAGACTGGTCAGCCAAAAGGAAACAGATCCCGGAACAGAGCTGGAGACAGAGCCCGGGAATGTTTTCCAAGACCCCAAGATGAAGGACAGGTAGAGGTTAGAAACCAAGAGGGGATTTGGGTGAACACTAGACAGCACACTTCTGGCTTTGGAAATCATGGAAGGTGGAACCAGGGGAGAGGCCATGAGAGCACTAGGAGAAGGACACACTCCTGAGACAAATAAAATATGGCTCAGCCAGGTGTGGTGGCTCATGCCTGTAATCCCAGCACCTGGGAGGCCAAGGCAGGAGGATCACTGTAAGTTCGAGACCAGCCTGGGCTACATAGTGAGTTCCAGAGCAGTCTCAACTACATAGTGAGACCCTGTCTCAAAACAAACAAACACAAAATATGGCTCATTTTCAAGGTAGTGGGATGAGTTAGATCATTCTGGTGTATTTTTTCCCTAACATGAAGCATCTGCCAAAAATACAGAGATGCTTTTCTGTAAACAACTAGGGAATGCAAAAAAGTACGAAAGGCTAACCAAATAAAAAATAAACAAAAAAGCAAGCAACTTGGTAAAAGAGTTACTTTAGCACTAAGAAACAGGACTAGTATGGCAACCAGGGTGGTGAAGTCCAGTTGATCTTCATTACCTCACGGATTCCATATTTGTAAACTCACTAGAACCTACTTGCAAGCTCTAAATTGCTACCTGTGGTGTTTTTGAGGCCATTCATGGATATGGGCAAAGCGGCACCAAATTTCAGTTCAGAAATTCAGAACATGCTTTCAACTGAGGTGGAGTAAACAAACATTATGTTTTCTTTTCCTTTTGTTTTTTCTCTTCTTTTTCCTTTTTTTTTTTTTTTCCTGTGCTGAGAAAAGAACGGAAGCTACATCTCCAGCCCTTTTCAAAATAATTTAGTGTTTTTGAGACAGGCTCTTGATAAGTTGCCTTGAGCCTGCAATCCTCCTGCGTCAGCCTCCCAAGCAGCTGGGATTACAAGCGTGGGCCATCACTTGTGGCGCTCTGTCCTCTTGTCTCATCTCTCACACTATAAATGAGTGTATCGCGTCTATGACTGCCACGTTCTCTGCACTGCTTTGCTTTTTGTTGGTTTCACTATTTCAAATGGCCCCCACATGTGGCCCTGGTGTACTGGGTAGTGCTCCAAAGCATGCAAATGCTGTGTGATGTGCTTTCACCGAGAAAGTATGCGTCAATAACCTTTCAGGCATGTATTCTAGTGCTGATGGCTGTGAGTTCCATATTAGCAAATCAACAACATACTTAAATAAAGTGTCGGTAAAAAAAAGGGCACGTGAAGTACTGCTCAGCTGACAAAGATGTGACCAGAGGTGCATAGAAGCCTAAACTAGAAGCAATAATTCAGTATTTGCTATTCAGTCTTTATGGTGTCTTTATTGCTAAAGAAAATAACAAGAATCAACTGAACATTTTATTAGGGCTGTGGATTTAGCTCAGCCATTTGGTGGCCTGCCTTGCAAGTGCAAGGACCCGAGTTCAAACCCCGGTACTAAAACAAAAACAAAGAATCAACTGAATATTTTTTTCATACATTATCTCCTCGTAATACCCACAGGGTTGATGCTGTCTTTGTCTTGCAGGAATTGAGGTTGCCCACATTGAATCATGTGACATGCGTTGACAGGATTTGAATCCATCTCTAACTCCCATGGAGGAAGGGAACTTTCTAGCCTTTGAACTGGAGTGCAAGTTCTTAGGAAAAGGTGGCTGGTCCCATATCAGGGCCAGTAGGAGAGTACAAGGAGAGCCAGGCTTAGGCAAGAATGATATAAATCTGAGAAAGGAGGAGGAAAGAACTGAACACAATCCTCCAGATGTGATGTCTTTGGTCAGAGCACAGCTAAGACAGGGCAGAGACACAAAGCAACTGGCATGGAAGAGAGGCACAGAGTTGGCACCAGGTTGGGGAGTTGCCCGGGAGCAACTGTGTCGAGGGGGAACAACAGAAGGCATAGGAATTGTCCAGCCCGGAAGTGAGAGCATGGAGGAAAAACAGAATCTTTCAACATCTCCAGAGCTATCTTATGGATGAGAAACTAGATGGAAAGCAGAACAGGACTGCAAACTGAAAGTTATGGGGCAGACGTTAGCTTGATGTAAGGAGTATTTTGTGATCACCAGAGCTCTCCTACAAGCCAGTATTAGAAACTGGGGTCCATAGACCATGTCTAGCTGCAGATGCATTTTGTTGGCTCACAGGATGAAATAGTGTATATACAGCATTAGACATAGTGTGTATATATGTAATAAAATATAATATATAATAAAATTATACATGTATTGGTGCACACCTGTAATCCCAGCACTGAGGGAGGCTGATAGCGAGTTCAAGTTCCACCTGGGCGACTTGGTGAGACCCTGGGTCTCAAAATAAAATTAAAAAGGGCTGGAGATGTCGCTCAGTGCAAAGGCCCTGGGTTCATCTCTGGTTAAAAAACAAATAGACAAGCAAACAAAATCTAAAAACAAAAACAAAAACAAAAAACCCGCACTTTTTAAGTGCCCTTTTGTGCAGCATGATGCACCCTCTGTGACTTCAGCTCATGTCACTCGAGTGTAACTTGCCTTGTTCTTATACAGCACTAGGGTGGGCAGGTTGTCCAAATGTCAGTTCAGGATACAGTTATAAACAGATGATAATTTCGTAGTGTACGTAGGTCCCGTGCAACACTTTGGATGAACTTACATAGACTTATATTCCAATATTCCCATTCTCTGTTTAATCCGACAGCTCTACCCTGCGTCTTTAAGTGGGACCCCTCCATGCTGTGTTTTGGGAAATGAACTCCATACTTGGGAAATATTTGGGAAATATTGAGAGACTTGTCTCAGAGGAATGTTTGGGATAGAAACAAGACTGAAATGGTTTAAATACACCCTGGCTCTATTTTCTGGAGATCGTCTTTTTTCAGAACAACAAAGTAATAAAAGGAAGAGGGAGTTAATTCAGAGAAATAACCTAGGTGCGGCTCTAGGTGTTGCCGATAGGTGGGACTCTAGCTTTTTGCCTCAGCAGCAGTATATTCTACCAAAAGACCTGGGAGTGGCTAACGGAGAAGGTTAGAGAACGCTACCTCTAGTAGCGATTGCTAGAGAAATTCCTTTAAAGTTCAAGTTCACTGGTGTGCGCATCTGCGGAGAGTGACAGCAAGCTCTTCCTGACTCAGGGCCTGAACAAAACAGAACGCAACACGCCCAAGTCGTTCTGTTTTGAATCTGTCAAAAGCTATCTTCTTCTTCTCTAAGACTGTGGTTAGTCATCCTGACACTTGTTTTCTTGTCCTGCTGCCAGAGCTGCTTCTCTGGTTGTTTTGAACAGACTGTGACTAACTCCCAAGGAGCATGGTAACAGTTGATGTGAGAGATGAAGAGACAAGACTGACGCTACCACAGCCTCCGCTTCCTCGGAGGAAGATGAGTGACAGGATCTGGGACCCTGTGTGGGAAATGCACTTCTGAAGATGTGGCAGTCATCTTAGGTCAATGACTAATTGTTCCAGGGCTCTTCCTGGCCTCCACAGCATTCCAATGTGTCTGTTGGGAGAATTTGGTGAGGCTGCTTTGTTTTGAAGACAAAGAAGTTAGCTTTAAGGTAGGGTGAGGAGTCCAGAGCTGACGGCTGCCTTCAGCTCATGGGCCAGAGCGTTTCACAGCTCAGCACACCGCTCCCTGTTCTTTCTCCTTGGTTTACCTCGTCTCCCCTCCCATACATCTGTCAGTGAAACAGACGAAATGACAAAAATCAGGGGACGATAACAGAATAGAAGGGACACAAATGGAGGTTGACAATTCTTGTGTGTCCTGTTTTGGAAAAGATCTTAGACTTGAACTTTGCCATCTCTCTTTTAAAGATGTATGCATTAATCATATCTTCAAGTTCATTCAAATGCTCACTACAATGTTCAGTGTTACTCTTTTCTTCATCTTTCCTCTCTTCACCCAGGTTAAATCAATAAAACGTCAGGGGCTACTCTAAGCAAAATGGGATAAAACTCAATTTCAGCTCTTGTAAAGAAAGAAGAGATCATTTAATATGCCCTTTCTTTTCACAGAAAACCTGAACTTAGGGCTCAGAGGTAACTGACAAAGGATCTCTGAATCTTAAATGGGGGACTTTAGGTGACTCATGTCTCTGCTATTTTAAGTAATAACTCTGTTCTCAATAGCTCTTGTCTGTTCTATCAGATTTTCATAGGGATCCTGTTAAATTAAAAATTTTTCAATTATTTTTAATCTTTTTATTTAAAATTCTTCAGGGTCTTGGATTTAAACTAAAGTAGGGATTTCCAGCCAATCTGTGTTGAATGAAAGAGACGGAAACAATGAACAACAGAACAACAAGAACAACAGTTTTGAGAGCAGAAATATCTCAGACCAGATCCTAGCTCTTCCATTAACCAGCATGTGAACTCGGGCAAGTTTTTGATTCCACTAAGCCTCAGTTTCCTTCTCTGCAAAATGCAGATAAATCACGTTTCAGGGTAGCTTGTGAAGAAAAAAAAATGGAATAATGTTAGGTACTTGATAAATAGCAGCTAACATTATTGTGTTTCTTGAATTAGTGTGAAACATAAAACAAAAGAACCACCACACAGTAGTATGATTTTCTAACCTTTTAATGCAGTCTCATTTTGTTTGGCACAGAAATCTAGTTCGGTAATCTGACAGATAAATTGCTTTGTGAAACGACCCACTGTAGCAAGTACTATACAGCTGGTCCCTAGAAGCATTTAAGAAGAGCGCAACGGTCAGCAGTGGGATGCAAGCCTATTGTTTTATTTATGATGCCTGTCTGTACCACAAGGCCAGCCGGCATCCGGCCCTCAGCATTCGTCATTACTCCACAATGCGGCGGAAGGACTGGACAGCGGGCGAAGCTGCACCCCAGTCAGTGGGCTTCTGGTACTCCTTCTTGTCCAGGAGGTACTGTCTGCCACGGTAGTTGGGGAGCTCGTAGAAAATCCAGACACCCTCCAGCACCTTACAGGAGTGGATCTCTCGCATGTGAAACTGCTCCATGATGGAAGGACAATCTTCGGTGGTTTCATGCATCTGACCATTAAAATCCCCTTTCTCAAAGATCTGAATCTTATACTGGCCTCCGCTAGACTGAAAAAGCACAGGAAAACATGAACGGCCACCATTATGGGAACCGGAACTGCCAGCAGGTCAAGAACTCAGAACATCACGGTTCAGAAGACGGTTCAGAAGCAAAATCACTGAGCTCCCATCCCCACTGAGATCCCACTGAAGCAGCTGACTTGCAATAAGAGAAATTAATTTCTCTGAATACCCAAGAGGTAGTGAAAACGTCACGGAAATAATTAGTGTATTCAGTCTTGTGATGAGCTGACCTCAGATTATCATTTTTTCAAGCTTCAGCAGCCAACCAAAGCCAGCCACCCATAAAGAGACAGGAACACTTCGAGGGGGGGATGAGGGAGGGGAGAGAGACAACCCCAGACTCACCAGCTGAACAGCTCTGCAGGAGCCCAGGCGGTCATTGAGGCCCATCCAGCGCTGATACTCAGGGTATTCGCCCTCAGGTAAGACGTACATGTGCCCAGCAAAGTTGGGCCTTTCATACACAGCCCAGGTGCCTCCTTCCACTCTAATGGAGTTGCAGCGACTTAGGTATGAGTGGAAATCCACACAATCACGGTCGCAGTCATAGCGCCGGCCTTGAAAATTTTTGTCTTCATAGAAAGTGACCTGAAGTACAGGAAAGGAAACAGAAGAACTGAGTTGGGCCAGTTGATCCATAAATAAAAGGGAAGAAAAGAAGCATATTTCCCACTGTAGAAATTCCTCTTTCAATTTTGAGGAGACAATGCATAGTTTGATCCCACCTCACATTTGATTTCTGGTGGACAACTGTTGTTCTCAGCAATAGGAATGAGTACTTTCTGAAGGCTTAAAATAAAGCGAAACAGAAGAGTGTTCTAATACCCTGGATTCTTTCCATGATTCTGGCCGCAAACCGAGTTGGATGAGAACAAAAATCAGTGGTGAAGTTCGCTGTTGATCTTACAGGGAAATTTGATTCAGTTCTCATCCAGTTTGGTTTGACCAGAATCATGGAGAGAACCGAGTTCGTGAAGAGAGGGGCAACTGTATAAGCCAGCAGTTCCAGACCAAGTTTACTGCTCATCCTTTACATTTCCACGGCTCTCTGCCTATTTATTTATGTCTACTCCTCCCATCAGAATCCTGTTAGACTTCCTCCAAAGGCAAGGACCAAACCTTATTTAAGCTACAGACCCCCAGTGGCCAGCATTCAATGGCTCCTCAAAAAATATTTGATGCAGATGAGTAATTTTCACATGCAAGCATTAACGCCAGGTGATGTAGAAGATGTACAGAGGAAAAGAGAACAGACTAGTTTTAGAGAGTTTATTTTAGGTTGACACAGAGCATATACACATGAAAATATACTTACTATCTAACTTTCTGTACTAGTCTAAGTTTCTGCACTAGTTTATTGCCGACAATAAACCTGTGATGAAGTAACAAGGTGTGCAGCCCCGGGGAAACTAAGAATAGGCCTGGGCTCTACGGCAACTTCCCCACCACCCAACCTACTACCTTAATCCGGTCACCTCTCTAGGCTTCAGCTTCCCGTCCGTCAGATGATTCGACAAGGACTGGAGCCCTGGCTATAAAAACAAAACGAGATTTCGCAAGTAGGAAAGAGTTCGCGGGAACTTCTAGGGATTCCTGAAATAGTTCCTAAAAGCTATTATGGAAACCACAAATGGGCTAGTTTTTCCCAAGTCTTGTTCAGTAATTCCACAATCTATGATCCACGCTACATTATAATTTAAACTGAAACCACAGGTTATATGCATGCTTCATGCAAGTAATTTCTCGGCGTTACGCCGCCACCTGGTGGATGATTTGCTATGTTGACCTAAATGAAAACTAAATCCTTGGTATAAAAAAGAAGTCAGTTTTTTGTTTTTTTGGTTTTTTTTGTCTTTGACCTGAGGGTTGAACAGATGTGTTCCTCACTCAATGGAAGGGAAAAGTCTGTTCCGAGAAAAAAGGAAAGAGCATGGCCCATTATAGGGACACTAAAGTCATTAAATCTAATGCATACTGAATATGGGGTGAAGTATTAGGCAGAAAGACCAGAAAAATGACCAAGAGCCATGCTGGAATCCTCTTGGAGCTCGTACAGGACCGGGCATCGGTGGTTTGTGCCGGGAAACAGATGGTTGCTGTGAGCCCGGTGAGGTCAAATGAAAGGTGACTGCAATGGGAAAACAAGCAAGAAATTTAGGGTTTGATGACTAATTTGATGCAGAGAATGAAGAAGAAATGACTTGCAAAAAGGGCATTCTCTTCCACGCTGGGTAATTCTTTCTAAATAGCAACATACTAATAGTTACTCCTTCCACCTTCATTTTTCTCTGCCCTTTCCATTTCTCTATTTCTAATCCCTAAAAGCTTCCTCGTTTTCCTTCCCACCTACTAGAATCATCTACTTCATCTCTTCTCATTTGTTTAGCACAGGAGACGCTTTATGGGCAAAGAAGAAAAAAATAGCAGTTCCAGTACTTACTACCTCTGTGACCTTGGGCAAGGCATTGAAGCAGTCTCGAAAGGGTTTTTGTTTTGTTTTTTGGTACCAGGGATCAAATTCGGGTCCTTGCGTCTGTGAGGCAGGTGGCAGAACCACTGAGCTAAACCCCCGGCCCCCTAAAGGTTCTTATGTACAAAATAAGGTAACAGCATCTACTGCAGAGAGATAGAAGCCAGCCAGATCAAGCACTGTTTCGCTGCCGCTGTTATGGGCCAAGAAGTGAAGTGATTTGCCTAAGTGAGTAGCAGTTAGAAGCCAGTAAAAGGTGGTACAAAACTCCTGTTCATTAATCTGGTTGATTTATTTTCCTTTAGTGTCCTCCTACTTGTACTGTTAGCTCAGTTCTCCACAGTAGCATTTACTTTAAGACACTGAGCAGGACTGGCACTGAGACTGGGAGGTTTTTTCCATGACTGTGGAGCCATCTTTAGGAAGATCAAGCAACTGCTCTAAGAACAAACAGGTTCTAAACTCCTAAATTAATTCAAGTTGCTTTTGGTTTTCAACCAACATTCACCAAAAAGAGGCTTTGCGCAGCAGATGCCATGGTGAATGAAGTGATCAGCTACTTTCTTCCTGTGTTTCGTATCTGCTGCCCTCTGTACACCTGCCTGACCCCAGATCTGAGAAGCAGAAATGTTTGTGATGTTTGGCAAGGTTACCGTGCTGGTCACCCTCCCAGCAGACCAGCCAAGTGTCCCAAGACAGAAACAAAGCATCTGTGTGGTGTTGCCCCAGAACCACTCCCAGGCTCCAGGACTACACTCTTCTTTCAGTGTGAGTCCTAAATTTCAGATAATGTCAGGCACCGCTGGACATGATGCACAATCCTGCCTATGTAGCTTTCTTGCCAATGCTGTTTAGTCTAAATCTAAACATGAGGAAATAATCAGAAAGATCTAGCCTCATGCCTTCCTACAACACATCTGGCCTGGAGTTTGAAAGGTTATTGTCTCAAAAAACGAGAAGCAGAAAGTCTATTCTGGATTATGGAAGCCAAAAGAAAAAAAAAGTTTAAAAGAGGCTAGGGACATAAAAACCAAATACATGACAGATATGAAATTTGGATATGGTCTGAATTCATATTGATTTATGCCTGATATCAGGAATATGACGACTGATACTGAATCCTGGGGACATAATAAAGTTCATGTGTATGCAGGGGATGCCTTTGTTGTTTGGAGATACAAACCTACATACATAAGGCAGACAGACCACTGTTAGTTTCAAATGGTTTAATTCAGAGAGACACAAAAAGAGAAAAAATATGGAAAAATGTTAATTGAAGAACATTCAGTGCCAGACATACAAGTATTCATTGAACATTTGTTATTCTTTCAAGACTCACTAAGTTTGAAAACTTTCAAAGCAAAATGTTGGGAGGGGGATCAATAACTACAGACAGTGGTTTTGTCTTAGACTCACTGGTTCCTGGAAGAGCTGAAAGGAAAATGAAGGTTTATTTTCTCATCCTCAAAGCCTTGCCTGAGAGATCAGTGTCGAGCCCAGCCAATTTTCAGTCAAATATTATAGACGTAGTTTTCTTAATGTTAAGGTAGCACAGTAAGACTGTTTGAATGAAGAAGATTCCTAGTTTAGTTTATTTGGCTGGCCTATCCACTTTGTCCTTTTGGAACATTAACAACTGAGGCTAAATTTCACAAAACAATGTGAATGACTACTAAAAGTTTTGTCACCCACATAATCTTCAATAGCACATTGTGTTCCTGTGCAGATACGTAGAACATTAGCTGCTGGAAGTAGAAATTGTAATGATATTTACATTTTATTGACTCATCCTATATTTGGCACAGCACCATACATAAAGATAAGTTCTTAATAGTGTTGGCAATTCTGTTGAGTAAAAAACACAAGCATTTCTTGATCTTTTCTCCCAATTCCAGCTCTCTAACCACTCCACTCATACTCACCTCTCCACGAAGAAGCAAAAGCTTTTCTCCATGTATCATTAGGCAAAAAGAGTAGATTAAGAACCAGTATGACCACTTACTTACCTTGGTTCCAGTTTTAGACATCTTCAGTGCATAGGCTGATTTCCTGGTGCTGAAAGAAATACAGGAATAGCTATGGAGAGCTAGAGGCACAGAGACATTTATACTGGGCTGGTTTCAAATCATACATTTGCTTAGTCATGAGATTAGGATCCAAAAATTGAGTCAGTCATTTAGAGGCTATTGATGGTTTCTAGAAAAACAATTGGGATTCTGAAATAAAAGCTTCACTACCCCCTTTAATGCTTACCAAGCCCCGCTGCTTTATAGAGTTTGCTGATTCAAGTCACCAAAATCCAGCCAGAGTTTTAAAAATAAAAACATAAAAAGTCTCTCTCTTCCCTGGGCAATTTGTTTTGTTTTGTTTCCCCCAGCAAATAATCTCTGAAATTCCTGATGTCTGTTTTTCTTCAGCAAAGCTGGCAGAAGAGTCACAAGACCATTCTGTTTCTGGACAAAAGTGATGTGTACTGAAAGCAACAAAACTTACACAATGGAAAGCAGTGCACAGTTTTGTGTTGGGAGGGGGAGGTTAAAAGTCACTACAAAGATCATTCTTGGGACAATTAGAAAAAGCACGGAATATATTAGATATTACTGTTGTACCAATGTTTAACTTTTTGAATTTTGTCACTGTAGCATGACCAGGTAAGAGAACGTCTTTGTCTTTCAGAAATGCATGCTTGGGCTGGGGATTTAGCTCAGTGGCACCACTCCTCCTGCCTCACAAGTGCAAGGTCCTGTTTGATTCTGGTATGGTGTATGTGGATGGGGGAATGCATGCTAAAGTATTTAGGAATAAAACTTTGTCTATAATCTATTCTTAACTTGTTAAGTTAAAGCAAAACTATGTAGAAAGTGGTAATGTGAGTGAGGCAAAATGTTAATTGGCGAAATCTACACAGAAGGTATATAAGAATTAAATGAGTTACTCTTGCAACTGTTCTTTGAATTTTTTTTCAAAACACATATTGGGAAGAGGTTCTACTCCACAAGGATGCCACCATATGCAGAGAGACAGAAAGCTACTGTGAGACTCTAGAACTTGTCACTTACGAGGTGTTTTTTCCCTCATTCATAATACAAGGGGTGATGAAAATATGAAGTGAATGTTTAAATTTTAAAAATGTATTATGTCAGAAGACACACTGCCACTAATCCCCTCCCTCTGCACATACTCACCCTGCCATTCTTGCCATTTTCTTGAGCAGTTCTGGGAGTCCTCTTTTGTGTCTCTGTGAGGTGTGATTGAAATGCTCTTGCTGAGTGCTGTCCAATGGAAAGGCAGGCTCATAAAAACATCACAGCGTCGCCCAGTCCCCCTTATTCACCAGAGCTGATAGTGTGCAACTTTTGGTTCTTCCCCAAAGTCCAAATGACCATGAAAGGTCAGGGTTTTGAACTGATTCAGAATGTTGAAGCAGCCACAGCTGCGTAACTAAAGACACTCAGGAATGTTCCAGAACTATTACATTAATGGTGATATGTCTCTTACTGTAATACATTTCTTTAAATTTAAACATTCACCAGAAGTTTTCGATTAGGCTGTATCACACTGGCACCTGTTCAGAGAACATTTCTGTTTCTATACACACCTCAGACTTTAGGAATGAGATGACATTTTTACGTAAACTCAATGCAGCAATATTATCCATTTTTATTTTCCTGGTCTAATATATTCATATCAAAAGCCCAACTTCCTTATCTTTGTACTAACTGTCCTAAAAGCATGTTTATAATGAGATATCTTCAGAATGTATGATGGTCAACTCAGAAAATAGCATAGGGCATATTTTCCCTAACAGGAAGATTACCGAGAAACAAACAAGAAGATATATTAAACATATCTGAATAAAACATATCTGAATTAAACATATTTCTGAATCTTATGAACTTTTAAGTATTTGATTAATACCATTCATTTCATCAACAAGCAATTTCCAAAACACACTTGTTACTCCAGGCTCTTTTATTTGCTTGCTTGAACTTATCTTAAAATAAACTCTAAAAACTTCAATTAGAATTAACATTCTGCAGACTGACTTTCACTTTACAAATTAAGAATGGTTCGGCTGGGGATTTAGCTCAGCGGTTCGGTGGCCTGCCTTGCAAGCGCAAGGACCCAAGTTCAATCCGGGGTACCAAAAACAAAACAAAACAAAACAAAGAATGGTTCTTTTCTGGATAAAGTTACTAATCAAATCACTAGTAATCATAGGAAATAATGTTTATTAACAATCAGATTCATTTTACCCACTTTAAGTTGTTTTAACAAATACAATTTTTCTAATCAAATATAAATCAAATAAAAAAATACTTCAGTATGTAACAGAGACATCAGAAACTTTTCCTAAAAGTAAAGTTTTATCTTTTTTAGCAAAAGAAGAAAATTACTTTTTAAAGTTTTTTTTTTTTGGTACCGGCGATTGAACTCGGGTCCTTGCACTTGCAAGGCAGGCCACCAAACCGCTGAGCTAAATCCCCAGCCCAATAAAACTACTTTTTAAGAGTTGGTTTATTAGAAATTTGAAGCAGAAAACAAAAAATAAAATTTTTATGCAAGTTCATTAAGTTTCATACCTTAAGAACAAATATACTCTTATATAAAACTATTTCTGCTATATTTATACATCAACAAATCATACTTTTATTTCAACTATTTCTTAAAAGGAGTAGTGATTTCCTTTTAAATACTTATAAAGACTAAAAAACTCTTCCAACTCCAGAAAGAATGAAACTCTTCCATCATACATGTTAATATACAAAATACACTTGCAAATCTACAATTTTTTTTGGCTTTTCTGAGACAGGGTCTCACTATGTAGTCTAAACTGGACGCAAACTCAGAGTGATCCTCTTGCCTCAGCCTCCCAAGTGCTGGGATAACAGGCGTGTGCCACTGTGCCTAGCTATAAACATTTAAATATTAGCATATATATATAATGGGGCTGCCTTCATCAACTTTTCATTCCTGCCTCACAAATATGAGTCTTCTGTTGTTGTATGAACAATATGTTTACACAACAGAGGTTTAGCTTAAACCCAACCCAAATAGTCGTTAAGTACGGAATGGAAACCAACAAATGGTCTTATATAGAACAAGTTCCGGAGTTCTCTTAAGCAGCAGGTGTGCCTTCTCAGTGTAGTTTTAAATCAGCACCATCCTCCATGCATCCAGTGTGTCCAGAACCCTGAAAATAACAAAAGAAAATTTAATAGTAATAACCTAATTTTCTATAACCATGCAAATAATGACTACATTTTACAATTTCACATAAATTATAAAGATCAGATGATAGTTTAGAGTGACAAAATATAGCTTAAAGTTAATTTTTTTGTGTCACATTAGTTCATCATCTCTTCTAGTATGAAATTCATATATAGGCATAAAAGCTTGGCAAACTAAGGGGATTAATTTAAACTAACATTTGCACCCTGTTAATAGTCCTTTTGTATACTCTCTATCAGATTTCTGATTCTTAATTTCAGCATTTATTAAGTACAAAGTTCTTTTTAAAAATAATATATAAAAACACTATAGGGTCAGGGATTTAGCTCAGTGGTTCCATCGCCTACTTCACAAGCTCAAGGACCCGAGTTCAATCCTTGGTACCCCAAAAAACAAACCAAAAAAAAAACCCCACAATATAAAGTAAACAATAAAGAATATCTTTTCATAGGTCTAAGGGTGTTGGGGAAATGGGAGGGGTAGGGAAAGGTAAGAAGGGATAAGAAAAAATAAGAGAAAAGGAGAAAAATGGAAACAAAAGTCTTTGTAAATAGGGAAGGGCAGGCTAGGGGAGTGGGGAAAAATCAGAACAAAGAAATGTCATGTAAAGGCTCAAGACCCCAATGGTGAACGTAACTGTACTGTATACCTAAAATGTACCAACAAGAAAAGAAAAGAATATCTTTCATAACTTTGTAAAATTGCAGTTTGTTAAAAAGTTCACTGTCTTTGCACTTTTGTTCCTAGGTGCATGCTTATATGAAATTAAAATGTATGTCTTTATGAAAACCTGTACCCAGATGTATGTAACACTATTATGTATAATAGACAAAAAGTAGAAACAACCCAAGAATCCAACACTAATGAGTGAATAAACAAAGTGGGAGATCCCTACTGCGGGTTATTATCCCACCACGAAGTCGAAGTACTGACACAAGCTACATGGATGAGCTTTGAAAACATCATGCTAAATACAAGAGACCAAACATGTTATATGATTATATGAAACGTCCAGAAGAGACAGAGTTGATGACTGGTTGTCAGGGCCTGGGAATAAAAGGAGATGCAGGGAGCTGGAGGATGGGGGATGGCTGCCAATGTCTACGGGCCTTATTAAGGGGTCATGAAAATGTTGCACACTTGTAAATGGTGATGGTTGCATCAACTCGTGAATAAACTAAAGGCTACTGAATTCTTCACTTTGAAAAGGTGAACTTTAGGTTGAGCATGGTGGCGCACACCAGTAATCCCAGCACTCGGGAGGCTGAGGCAGGAGGATGACTACAAGTTTGAGGCCAGCCTGGGCTACACAGTGAGCTCAAGACCAGCCTGAACTGCAGAGTAAGACCTTATCTCAAAAAAAAAAAAAACCAAAAAAGAAACAAACAACAAAGGTGAATTTTTATATTATGTGTATCACATCTCATTAAATACAAACATTTTCTCCTACTCTAAACACTCAGTCTCATTCCTCAAAAACACTACTATGATTTCTTTATATTCTTTCAGGAACTTTTAAGTTATACACATGAGAATCTGGCTCGTTTTTCAAAGAGGAGACACATTAATTTTTCTGAATTTAGAGATCATTCAGTATCCACAAATACAGACATACTTGATTATTTTTAAAGACATGTTTCACCGTAGATGAACCAGTTTATTAGGCACCAGCCTTTGAAGTATGTGGCCTGTTCCCAGTTGACAGCTATTTCAAATGATGCTGCAAGATCACTTTTTAAAATAGAACTCTACATGGTACAAAATTTCAGTATGTAAGAGAAACAAATTCAGGTCCACTGTACAATGTGACTATTATAGTTAACAAGAGATGGTGTCCTTGAAAAATTCCAAGAGAGTAGATTTTTACCATTCCACAATGTGCACAGGCTGTATCTCAAAGCATGTTGTACAGGATAAACAAGTGCAATTGTATTTGTTAATTAAAAAAAAGCAAAGAAAATAAAAAGATTAAACAGATCTTTACATATATGAGTGCATCTGTAAGGTAAAGTTTATAAAGTGAAATTGCTAAGTCAAAGAATATCTGTGCTTTAAGTCATGGTTTTGTCAGACTGCCCTACAAAGTGTCAAGGTTCAAAAGGTTTCAGACTTTGAAGCAGTTGGATTTTGAATTTTCAAGAGGATGGCTCAACGGTAAAGTCTATGCAGACATTCTAAAATCTGAGACCTGAAACACTCTGGTCCCAAGTATTTCAGATAAAGAATATTCAACTTCTTTATTACATCTCTTTATTTTTAAATGAGTATCTTTGTCTCTGTTATTTTTCTATGAACTACCTAGTCATATCTTTTTTTTTTTACTGTTATTCTTTTAAAGTACCTTAAAGTAGCAAAGTTAATGGATTTCTGCTTGAAAACTGCATATATTTAGATTAAAAAAACTTTTAATTTGTCTGTATTTGTATTTTGTTCTATTGCATCTATGACCTTCTGGTGTTCAGTAATCAAATCTTCGTATGAATTAATTCTAGTAATTTATTATCTCACATATGTACCATTAATAAAGAGCAGCCCATTTATTAACTGGTTTGTGGGTGAGGGGTGGAAAAGAAGAAAGATTATGTCAGGAAGGGGGAACAAAATTAAAATTAAAGCTATGCACAGGGAAAGTAGTATCTTAAATCACTGCAACTTGTGCCAAGGAAATAGCAAAAAAGATAAAGCTTGGTTGTTATATTTGACTGAAATTTTTATATGCTTCGCCTTAATATTTTGGTTTTCTCACCACAAAGTATGACAATGTGGGTACGTAAACTTCTATGCTGGTGGAAGCTGTGGGGAAATTTGGCAAGGGTTAGAAATGTAATACTGTGTGCATTATTTTTGTACACTTGGAAGAGTTCCCCAGGGGAATTTGCTTCAAGTAGTCCGCACTATAAATGCCTACCAGCAATCTGATGTGGGAGTCCTATCCTGCTGCTTGTTTGGAGCCTACTGCAGGGGGTACAAGGCTATCCAGCTGTTGGCGATGTCCGGTATTAACCAACCATTCATAAAACTTGTTCTCCACAAGTAGCTGGAACTGTTTCCTTTGATCCCTAAAAGTGCAATGGAGAGCAAAAAGAATATGAGCACTACTTCATATAATCAACTCCAAGTCATTACATAACCCTTTAATGGGCTAACATTAAGTCATTCTTTCTAGTTACCCTTTTGTTTTCATTTGGACTACTTTACGGTACACCACTCCATTAAAAAAAAAAAAAAATTGGCCAGATACAATGTCTTCTCTGTAAAGACTTAGCCATGGTCAGATATTTTAACGAGGCTCAAATGAATATTATGTAGTATTCTGGCTGATGGGCTAAATGTAAAAGGAAAAGAGAAGAAATAAGGCACCTGGACTCATTAGTCTCTGTATATAGTCATCTATGTAGTCTGTCCTGTGAATTGCATATTCTAGTAGGGAAGATAGGTAAGAAGTAAAATAATGACACAAAGTTGAACAGCTCAAAGTATCTTAGAGAAAAACAGAATGGGGTAAGAGAATGCTAAGTACTGGAAATGCTGATTTTAAAAAGAGAGACAAAGAGGTCTCACTAAGACGTCTGGCAGAGGGTTCATCTGGAGGAGACTGCCTGGTAGAACTGGAGAAATTACAAAAGTTCTAAAATTAGAGCACAGCTAACATGTTCAAGATACAAAAGACAAAGGCAGCGAGGCCTTGGAGCAGCTGAGATCTGGCCTGGCTGTGGTTCTGCTGAGCACAATTTCACAGAACATCAATGGCAGGTGAGGCCACTGTGGGACAGTGACGGACCAAAGCAAGGATGAGAACATGCCATATCCTAACTTGGTCCAGAGGAAAAAATAAATGTTCTGGTCCAAACCATGAAGACGAAAGCTAGGTGCCCATTAGCCATCAAAGAACTGGCTGGAGGCATCTCTGAAGAAGATTAAAGTCACAATGGCCGAATTTACATATTTCCCTGAGGAAGCCTGAGATGGTACACTTTTGAGATTTCCCATATAAGTAAACTATCATCTCATTAGGGGTGAGCCACTTTCTCCCACCCATTACGACTAAGACTAAAGACAAGACTAAGACTATAGGTTATCAACCAAGGTCACTCCTATCAACTCTATGCCCTTGCTACTACTGGATCAATATAAACTAATGGCTATACTTGTAGTCACATTGGGTGATTTTAATTTGACCCATGTTGTAGCTATGCCTCATGACTCTCCTTTATAAAACTTTCTCAGAGAAGCATTTTTATACCATCTTGAAATTTCAACAGACTGGTTTTTGCCATTTGTTCAAGAATAAAAGTTGGGGTTTTCTAAGGAAAAAAAAAAACTCAGGGAAGTGGGCTTGTTGGCCACCCATTTGGGACCCCTCCTGTCTCTCAGGAGCTCTCCCTATTCCCATTCTCATTCCCTATTCCCATTCCCCAATAAATTTTCCTGCTGCTCCCACCGTCCCCAGTACTGGGAATTGAGCTTGGGACCTTGTGCTTATGAGGCAGGCAGTAGAACCACTGAGCTAAATCCCTGGCCCTAATCTTTTGTGGTTTTTTTTGGGTTTTTTTGGTACCGGGGATTGACTTTGGGACCTCATACTTGCAAAACACAAAGCAGAACCACTGAGCTAAATCCCCAGACCGTAATTTTCCTACTCTTAACCTCCACAGTTCCTTAGAAGTCATTCTTTGACTTTGGGGAACATGAACTCTGCGTATCTGACACCTACCAGGTTGGGAGTTACGTTATTTCCTTATATATCATCTGGAGGTCCTATATCAGTAAGAAGGCATGAAAAAGGCAAATAAGGACAGAAAATGAGGCAGAGAGGGTAAAAGCTTTGGATTTAATTCCAAATATGACGGGATTATAGCTGGGGGTCCATGGCTTTTGGGAAGTGACTGGATAATGAGGACTCTAACTTCAGTGGGTTAATACACTGATTCTGGTGGCATTACTGATCAGTGACTCAAACAGGAAGTAGAGCCCAGTTAGAGAAAACAGGTCACTGGGGCATGACTTTGGAGATTATATCTAGCCCTTGGCTCCTTCTTCTCTGGCTCTTGTTTTGCCCTATATGCTTCCTGTCTGCCATGATGTGGGTGGCTTTCCTGCACCACACCCTTCTCCATAATGTTTGTTTTGGAGGCAGCTGACCATGGATGGAAAACGTCTGAAACCATAAGCCAAAATAACAATTTTCTCCTGTAAATTGTGTATATCAGTTATTTTTGACCCAGCAACACGAAGGTGACTGATACAGATGGCAAGCCAGTAGAGGTCAGAAGGGAAAAGACACAATCCAAACACTTTCACAGTTTGTCTTCCTCTACAGATGTTCCCCAACTTATGTGGTTAGACAACAAGATACTCTACAGTCCACTATGTTACTAAACTATGATGTTCAATGGGTGAGGTGTATTAAGTGCATTTTTGACTTACGATATTTTCAACTCACAGTGGGTTTAGCGGAATAAAATTCTATCATATATTGAGGAACATCTGCATCCCCAAGTTACAATGACTACTTTCACTGTTTCTGAGTGCCATCATGGATCTTACTGATTGAAAACATTGATTCACAGTTAACATTCATTAAGTCCTCCCACATTCTAGACTCTACACATCGACGTAAACTTTACACATATATGAGAGAATCTAGGTATCTAAATACTAGAAATAGTCAAACAAATGAATTGCTTTGAATATTAATACTCATTTTTATATCACATTATGTTTCTACTGTATTGAATGATAGAACAATAGCTGAAAGCCAACCATGATATTAGAACCTCTGGAATCAGATGACTTTGGAGAAAATATATAATCTGTCATCCCTCCAGTCTCTTCATCTATAACAGGATATTGTCGTGAAAAAGAAAGGCAGTATATAGAAGGTGCAGAGACAAGCACTTGGCAAATTAAGTGCTCAGTATGTATCACCCATTACCACCATCACTGTGATTATCTGATAGGCTAGAATGGGAAGGACTGGTCTATATAATATTAATGTTTTGGTCTCTCTTATCTTCTAGATGCAGACAAAGAGGAACGTGAGTTACAGATAATAGCAGTTTTATGACAGCAGACTTACAGATAAACCATGAGTTGTGACTGTTACTGAGCTTTATATCTTTTTTCCAGGCAGAAACAGTTTCAAAGAGTCTACATGCAATAGTTTAACCACGTAAACATACTACAGCACATACCAGTAAACACAGACACACACAGGTTACTTGTTAAATTTTCATATCAACTAACTGGGCAAAAGATATACTCTTTATATATACTAGGATTAAGAACTGGAAAGGTTACATAGCACTCAGTGTCACACAGTAAGTGACATGATGTATTAATTTCTGAGTCTGAGTGCTTTCCTTTACAGACATGGCCATCCAAGGAACAATGGTAAAGATAAACTCTAGTAAAATAAAAAGAGATCTAATTAAAATAATCATTTTTGGGCCGGGGATTTAGCTCAGTGGTTTGGTGGCCTGCCTTGGAAGCGCAAGGACCCGAGTTCAATCCCCGGTACCAAAAAAATAAAAAATAAAAATAAATAAATAAATAAAATAATCATTTTCATTCACGCATCAAACAGCAGTTCTGGATCAACAGGAACACAGAAAGTTTTGGAATGGCTGCTACTTTCCAAGATAATGGTAATCGGAAAATAGCCAATATAGTACTAGAAAGACATTTTCTAAGCTTTAAGGAAAAGGGTTGGAATGATCAAGGTATTATGAAGACATATTACACACTCAGATATCCAAAAAGAACTTGATACCCTTCACCCAGTCCTCAAATGCACGACGTTTAGAAGAAGCTACCCTCCTTCTGTCAGTAATGCAATGGTTCCTATTTTCTTCTCCTAATACATCTACAAAATAAAATTTGATTATACAACATATTTGCAGAAACACTTATTCTGAGAATCCACTAATTTTAAATTGAAGATAATAGTAAGGCCAGAACAAAATTGATTAATCAAAAAATCTTCTAAGCTTGGCTCCTATTTTTGGACTCATGTTTCACTTTCTTTGCAAAATCTTGCACTGAGTCCTGCCTCCTGACAAAATATTTCTATTATCCATCTACCTTCTCTCCACTCTAGTCCCACCCACTTTTAGTTAGACCAGTGACAATGAACCTTTTGGATCTTTCAATGACACAAACAGCCCGCTGTGGCACGTGTGCCATAGGTTTGCTATCGAGATCTACACTATCAAAGTATCACCCTTACTCCCCCACTTTAAATCTCACGACTCTTCACATGTGTCAACCTCACTGATGTCTTCTGAATCTCTTTTATACTGAGTAAATTTAATTTTTGGAAAAAAAACTACTATTTTTAACAATTTACCATGGATTAGGGAAAACCTGGACAAAAGCTACTATTAGTTTATGGACCAGCATTAAAAGATGCCCTTGAAGATTAAGTCTGGGTATGGTGGGCCCATAGAAGTCTGCAATAACTAGCTCCTTGGAAAATTCTGATGTACAACCAAGCTTGAGAAGTACTGGTATAGCATAGACAAGTAAATTAAGAACTAAAACTAATTCATGTAAGTACTGGATTATGTGGCAAATCCTATATAGAGTTCCTTAATTCATGTAAGTCTTACCTCTACCAGCTAAACTTAATCTTCTCAAAAGAAAAGGGGTGATACAGGCTAATGGTTAAGTACTTACTCGTTCCCATCTCCTAACGAACTAGTTTAAAATACTCACCCAAAAGGCAAGCCTTAAGAGACAAACAATATTTCTAAATTACTTTGACAGAGCTATAAAAATGTTAAGATTAAACAATTAAAACTGTTTTCCTACGGAGTTTCAAATAAAACATACAATAAAACTTCTAGAAAATACTCACTTTGTCAAACGAGCTTCCTTCACAGTTTTCTGCCAGATGTGGATCTTCTGTTCTCTTTGACTCAGTGCCTTCTGATAGGCAGGTGGAAGACCCCCAGGTATCTCTGTTGTGTCCCCTTCCATTTCAAAGGGAACAATGAATACATAGAATTCACAGGGGGGCAAGAGCTGGAAGACATTTGAGTCACTGCTCTCTCTGCAGATGACCAGTGGATTATCCCAATAATTAGGCACTGTGGCAAGGCCTGTCCTGGCCATGTGGTCCTCTAGCATTGGGTAATGGGTATGAAAAGGAGCAAAAGTTATACTCTGGTTCCCTGAGAGAATAAGTGGGCGCACGGGAGTCAGAATGTGAAAGACGCAACTTGTTGTAGAAGAGATGGACAAACGATGGCAAACAGCAATAACTTTAACACTGTCACACGAGTGCAGGTGAAGAACAGTCTCCACAGGGCCCAAGACAAAGGTGCTATTCCTGCACTTCTCAATTGTCACAGATCTGAAAAATTTAAAATGAGGGAAATTTCTTTGCACAAGGATAAATTTAAAAAGTAATAAATACTAAAATACTATCTGATGGCCAAAAAAAAGGATCAATCCTACTCCAAAGAACTTGTCAAAACGTAAGAACACTAAGAAGATTTTGCTTACCGTAAGGGAGAGAGCAGATATATGAAAGATTCGTTGCAACGATGAATCCTGACATGGGCCCCCACCAGAGTATCTGAGCTCTTGGCCAACGTCTGCTTGTGAACCTGGCTCATCACCACCATGCGGTGCATCCTAGGGGCCACATGAGTATTACAAGCAATCTTAGCCCTTTTGGTCGTACCTTCAACTATTTAAGAAAGCATAAATAAATAAGATAGTTTCAAATCAAAGGAAAAAAACAACAATCGTATGAGTTTACACAACCACATGTTCCATGTCTAAACTTAGCTTGGGGCACTGGGTGAAGAGGCGTTGGCTATACAGCTCCACTCTTTTTTTGTATATTTGTTATCTTTCATCATTTGTTATGCAGAAATTTAAAACCTGTTAATCCATTCAAGATTGTTAACAGATCTAAGATTTTTTTTTAATGTCTACCTTTTAAGTAACATGCTGAAGCCTCAGGTCAGGTCATCTCAACCCATCTCCTCATCTCAACCATCTCCTCCATGATGCCTTTATCATTCCAACCATAGCTAACCTCTCTAAATTGCTGTATTCCTCCAAATTTCCTTAATGCCTCACTCCATGGGTTCTGTCTGAGTTCATATCTTACTTCTAGGATCACTACTGCCTGAGAGCAGATCTTCCTGTTATACACAGTGTCTCACACAAACTGACACAATAAAATATGTGCAGGTTGCCGTACTAACGCAGTCCCACCATTACTTGACTGGCTTCTCAGAGTGAGCTCCCATGCAAGCATTGGGACTCTTTAAACAATGCTAGCCAAATGGGCAGGGGCTACAGAAAATATTTTATAATTCTTTTAAAATAATTAGTGCTTATTTTAAAATTATGTATCTACCATATACATCACACATGCTTAGTGTAGAAAAATAATGGTAAAAAAAGATTAAAAATCATATGTAATCCTATTAGTATAATTACCATTTCAGTACAATCCAGGAGGTTATATAGCCTTTCTTTTTTCGCTACTAATGACTACCTTTCCATGGTTCAAACGCCTGAGTAAACCTATGATCTTCTATGAGCATTAAGAATTACGTAGTAACTCCTATGTACAGGAACCTTGCATGTCTGAGGGTTTGTGATCTCCCACAGTAGCAACAATTGAGTTAAATATAGAATTCTTGGATTGCAATCTTTCTGCTCCACATTCTATAGAGGGTGTTCAACCATTTTCTGTGAGCTATAAAAATGCGATTTGAAGCTGGATTTTTTTTTTAACATTTGTAAGGGAGCTGTTTATCTTTGAAATTCAGAGATAGTGGAAGTACATTCTCGGGCAATTTTTTTTTTTTTTTTTAATTTTATTTATTGGTACATTCTAGGTAGACAGTACAGTTACATCCATTACTGGGATCTTGTACCTTTACATGCCAGGTCTTTTTCCATTAATTTTGCCTGCATTTGCCTCAGTAGCATAGACATCTACAGAGATGTGGGCCCACCCAGCTTTGTATAAGGGAGACCTCTTCACTTAAAATTTCAGGCAGACACAGGAGCATATAACACCTGAACGTATCTATTTAGGCATCGCTGGACTGTTAGCAATGTATACCTGATACAACCAACAATGGATTCTTCTATAAACTTAAATTTCCAATTTATAAACACTACTTTGCTTGTATCTATGTAGCTAAAGAAGATGTCAATTCTACATTAACTTGTAACTGTTGGATGGTCAAATTCTGCTGTTGTATAAAAAATAAAATCTCACAGAAGTGAGCACATGAAGGTGAAGAGAGAGAATTAGAAAAGCACAGCAAAGACTGCAGGATTAACTGCAGCCAGTTTGTTAACTAATTAAATGGACCTTGACTAATAAATGAACTGAGATTACTGTTGCTTTGAGGAGAAAATCATGCCCAAAGGATGGATGTTACCTTCATAATGGCAGTATTTTTTATTTTTAGGCCTTCTACAGAAGATATATGATCATTAATACACCAGGAGACAACATAATCCTTGTCATTCAATTTAAATGACTAAAATATTAAAAAATACCTTGGTGAGCCCAAGCCAATTTCTTTCCTGATGTGAGGCAAGCAGATGTACCAAATGGATTCACAGTCAAATGGGCTCTTAACCAGGCTTCCAGCTTGAAGAAAGAGAAAGTCTTAGACATCTTTGAGAAGCCACTGTCTGCATGTAGTGGTTGCCACAGTGCAAGTTCGTGAAGTGGATAGATCTTCCCAGCTCTACTCACTGTGCCTTCAATAAGGAAGCTGAGCGCCACAACAGCTTCTCGACAGACTAAACTACTACGGGTCGAATGAGATGATGCACTGAGTTGTTCTGGATCTAAAAGCAGCTCAAGGAGATCTGACAGATGGTCACAGACAAAAGCCTGGTGACTGTAATCGTTCCAGTTCTAAAATAAAACAAAAAAAACAGCACTCAACAGAACAAAGGAGTGCTACATGAACTAAAGGTTTATCTTTCAGTTGTTTTGCACTGATACACTGCCTCATCCCCCAAAACTATAGGTGACTATATACAATGACTGTGTGTGTGTGTGAGAGAGGGAGAGAGCGAGAGAGAGAGAGCTATAAATGGATTCTCCCTTCACATCAACTAATTCAAAGGCAGTACAAGTTGAAATCCTGAGAACTGGAAGTTCCAAATTTGGGATTTTTTTTTTTTTTTACTTTGGAAAAAAGTATATCGTGGTATCTTGGAGATGTGAGCAAGTCTAAACATGAAATTATTTACACACAAAGCCTGAAGGTAATTTTATATAACGTTTTTAATATGCCTGCATTTTAACTGTGCTCTGTCTGTTGTAGAATTTTCTATTTCTGCTATCATGGTGCCACTCAAAAAGTATCGAAATTTGAAGCATTCTGGATTTCTGATTTTGGTTAGGAATGCTTAACCTGTACAAATAAATAACCCTCACTGTTTGCTAAGCATTAAGTGTTACATATACTTTAACATTTAATCTCAACAGTGGGTGTGATGTCATTATCACTCCTATATACAGATGAGGACAAAGTCACAAAGCTAGTAAATATTCTAAAAGTCTCAAATTAAACATAAAAATAGCCACCATAGGGCCGGGGATTTAGCTGAGTGGTGCCATTCCTACCTCATAAGTGTAAGGTCCTGAGTTTGATCCCCGGTACAAAAAAAAAAAAAAAAAAAAAAAAAAAGCCACCACGGACATTCACTCAATGAAACACTGGGTTTAATTTACTTCCTTTTATAATAGAAAGAACTTCAAATTCTATTGGGTGAAATAACAATAACTAGATTTAAGAGAAACTGCAATTTTGGGAGTGAGCATTCGGTTGGCAGATGTCTTGGCGATTTGGCTCATTCATGTGACAGGTATTTTTTGAGGACCTCCTAGAGTAGTTGGTATGAACAATGGGAAATGCAGATGTGCAAAATTAGTAAGACATAGTTCCTTGCTTCAAGGAACTCAAGTATCTATGTTAGGAGAAGACACATAAATAAATAAGCACAACTCACTGAGACAAGACTAATAGAAAAGATCTGTAAAGACATTCTACAAGTGTGAGAGAAACTAACTCCACAAAGAAAAAAATTGTGGAGTGTTATTTCTAGTGACTCGTGTTTGATGTTGGTAGTTACTCAAATAGTTACAAAGAAAAAAGGCATTCTAAGCATGCGGAACAGCATATGAAAAGGCAGGGAGGAGTGAAAGTACTGCTTTGTTCAGTGAACTACAAGTTTTGGCTGAAATGATAAGTAGAGACCACGCATGGAAGACCTTGTACAAAACACTGAAACAGCTGGACCTAGTTTTGTACGTCAGAGTTTTAAGTTATTTTCTAAATAGCAATACGCACACACACACATTTTTAAGTAAATTCTCATTTGAATGTTGAAGAAAATAGGTCAAAGCAGAGCTGTTCTCTACTTCAACCTCTTATTCCTCCTTCTCACTGCCCGCTTCACCCCAAAACAGGCTCTGAGGTGGCTCCGTGGATACAATATGGAAATACCACAATAATGAGGGTTCACTCATGGAGCTTAGACAGGAGATGAATGGTATGCCACTGCATTTTACAAGGCCCAGTGTGGGAGGGAGTGACTGTAGACTAAAAGTAGGGTGACCAGCTGGGATCTAATTAAAAAGAAAAAAGTCAAGGCAAAAGAAGAAAACAATATTAAAAGCCCTAGATAGGAGCAGTGGTAGATGCCTGTAATGAGAGATAGTTGGGAGGCTATGGCAGGAGGACCACAGGTTTCTCCTAGTCAACACAGTGAGCCTGTCTCAAAATGAAAAACAGTTGGGATGTAACTCACTGTAAAGGTCCTGGGTTCAATCCCCAGTACTGGGGGTCGGGGGGAACTAGATAAAAGGAAGAAAAAAGGACTGGATTTAAAGAGTTATTTTGTGGCAGAAATCATTAGGATACAAGTTTACTTAATAAAAGGTAGATTTTATTGTAGATAAATATGTATTTGTCTCCCAAACTAAAGTAGAGGCAGACTTCATTACAACTGGACTAAAAAGCCCTCTGGAATTGGCTCGTCTGACAGGGCCACTGCCTCTCTGTAAATCTGTCCCTTTCTCTTCTTTTCCCTGACGACCAGCATCCCAGACTTCACCAGCTCCTTTAGACTTTCGAGTCCCTGTAACTGCAGGTCACTCCTCAGCACAGTGCTAGTCTGACAGGTCCCAAAGCCATGTGTGCCTTTGGCTCAAGCACCCACGCTGACTGGTAACTGCTTCAGTCTCCAGGGGACTGAGGGCCACGGCTATCATTTCGAATACACAGCACTGAATGAGCGACTCAAGGGCTTGTGCTCGGCTGCTTGGTTGTCAGAAGAGGTCAATGCTTCGGCACAAACCAGTGCTGCCATTTCCGGGTGCTTACAATGCAACAAGCCCCATACTAATGTGTCACAGATTTCTCACAGATGTTCAAAAACAGGCATTAGCCCCATTTAAAGAAGAGAAGCCAGGTCCCAGACAAGTTAACTGACCTGCCTAAAATCATGTGACTATTAAGTGGCACAGTCAGATCTGAAATGAGCTACCCTAGCTCCAAACACCGTAGGAACTAACTGGGCAGAGAGCACACAATGATCGACTTCTCTAGTACACCTGGAGCTGAACATTTTAACATTAAGGCATCGCTAGGGTGTCTGCATGATGAGGTAAACACAAGGCAAGGGCTCTAGCATGGAGACAAAGGTGAGAGCCACTGAGATGCACACAGTCATGGGGAGACAGAGAATTTCCATGAATAAATATGGTAAGTAGAAAATAAAAACTTCCTCAGGTAGAATCCTGGGGAATGGTGTCATATAGGAGCTGGGGGAGAGAAATTTATGAAGACAAATGAGAAAGAATTGAAAGCAGAATCAGCAAGGCAGGGTGTGGTGGCGCACGCCTGTAATCCCAGCACTCAGGAGGCTGAGGCAGGAGGATCACTGTAAATTCGAGACCAGCCTGGGCTACACAGTGAGTTCCAGGTCAGTCTCAACTACATAGTGAGACCCTCTTTCAAAAAAACAAACAAACAAACAAACAAATAAAGATAGTAAAACAAAGCAGAATCAGCAATGTACAGTATTGTGGAATGTAAGGGAGGGACAGATTTAGTAAAAGGACTATAAAAATAGCAAATATTAAGGAGATATTTTTTAGCTTCAGAACTTGTTAAAAGAGCCTGTATATGGAATTTATTCTAAGGTTTACATTTTACTTCAAGTTTTTCAAAATAGTTCCAAAAAACAAGTTAAAAAAAAAATGTTTTTCTAGGCTGGGGATTTAGCTCAATGACACCACACCTGACTCCCAAGAGGAAGGTCCTGAGTTCAATCTCCAGTACTAAGTACTTTGGCCTTGGTGTGGTGGCACATGTCTGTAATCTCAGAACTTGGGAGGCTGAGGCAGGAGGATTGCTGTGAGTTTGAGGACATCATGGGCCACATAGCAAGGCCCTGTCTCAAAAATAAATGAATAGATTTAATTAAATAAAAAAGCTTTTCTTGACAAAAACAGAAAAGAAAGAGCAATAGGATGTTTTCTAAAACAACATGAGGCAGTTAACACGTAGACTTTCACAACACTTATTAAAATACTTCCTATTACTAAAATACTTACTAAAATTTCAGAGAAAGAGATGACATTGTGAACAGTACCTTATTATGGCAGTTGGATTTTACAGAGATGTCAGGAGACTGAGATTTGTTTCTGGGACTAGGCCACTCTTCTCCAATCAAAGACGTCCTCAGGGAGACCTTGTTTAATTGCTGTATGTACAAGAAGAGCAGGAACTGTAGGGTGTCCACTGAAACCTGTTCAAGAAGAGAATAAAGGATGAACGTACATCTTAAAGCCTCAGTTAAGCAAACACAGTAAACTAAATTCTCAACAGCTTGTTCACCCTTAAAACATGGCTATCAAAAATACTGCAAGCATTTAACATGTCTGTTTTTGATCACCAAATATAGGAGTTTCTAATATTAGGGTCATTTAGTTTTGCAGAGAGCCAAAAAAAATCCGTTCTCCAAAAATTAATGCAAAGGAAAGAATGAAGTACTTATAAAAATTACAATATTTCAGAATTTAATCTCATAGTTAAAAACCTAACCATAGTAATTTTCCTAAGTAAACAAATAGGTAAAATGTAAAAGAAACAAAATTCATTAAGCTAGAGGTTTAACCTAAGGATTTTTCAAGAAAGCTTAGCATATCAGTGTACCAACTGAAATTATATATAATTTCTTGGTAGATGTATATTTTGTGAGAGAGTAGTTTAAGGTTCATTTTTTTAAAAGTTGTTAAGACTTAAAAAAAGAAAAACATACCACTGTGTGAGAGTGGTCACACAAGGTCACTTCTTATTAGAGGAAGTGGTTGGAAGCTCACTGTTTTTTGTTTTGTTTTGGAGACAAGAGTCTCACTATATAGTTCAGCCTGGCTTGGGATTGTAGGTGATCCTTCTGCCTCAGCCTCCTGAGTGCTACAATTATAGGCATGCACCATCATGCCCAGCTGAAGCTCACAATTTATAATTTGAAGCTCACGATTATGATTATCCTCATCCATTCATCCCCATACACATATAGGAGCGGGAACAAAGTGAAGTGATACATGTGGGTCTACAGCTATATTTACCCTAATTTCCAACCTGGTAGAAAGTTGCTATCATCTGAGGGGCTCAGGATCCCCCAGATCTATTCAATCAACTGCCAATGTGGAGCCCCATGAATACACACTTACAAATTTTTACTTCCCTAAACTTTAAAGATTCACATGCAATTGTACGACTTAATACAGAGATACCGTGTATGCTTTTCCCAGTTTCCCACCTTGCAAAACTATAGTATGATAGCACTAGGGTGCTGACATCAAAGTGGCCAGGACAGAGAATATTTCACCAGCTCAGGGGTCTTCCATGTTGCCTTTTATAGCCACACCCACTGCCCTGCCGCCTTTCCCCCTTCCCTAATTCCAGCGACTTTAGCCCTTCTTATTTTTAGACAGGGTCTTGCTAAATTGTCCAGACTGGCCTTGAACTCACAATCTTCCTGTCTCATTTCCCGAGTAGCATCCAGAGTTGTTTGCCACCAAATGAGACTAAAATATTTTTTTCCTTCTTTTTTTGGTAGTACTTGGAATTGAATACAGGGCCTTTGTCCTGAGCTATATCCCTAGTCCTTTTATTTTTGATTTTGAGATGGCATCTTGCTAAATTGCCAGGCTGGGCTTGAATCTGAGATTCTCCTGCTTCAGCCTCCCAGAATGCTGGGATAATAGGTGTGCGTCACTTTGACTGGCTTGCCTTTTTCATTTTTTATATCCCTACTAACTACTATATAATAAGGCACATAACAAGAACTCAAAACATTTGGAACATCTTTAAAGTTTTATGCCTCTCTATATCCCCAGCACACTCACTACTATTCCTAGGACATAGTAGGAACCCAATAAAAATATCTGGTAAATGAATAACTGTTATGCCTGCCCCCCTCCTGGCTGTGTGACAAATTTCAATTTCTAAAACTTATTCAGATGTTACCTCAGGTGGAAGAGACTGGCTAGATGCAAGCTGCTTTTTCTCTTCTTCCAGGTCACACAATTGGATGGCATTTCTCAGCCTTTCTTGCAGTTCCATATGCTGTACTGGAGTCACAGTCAGTGGAATATAGGCAAATCTATGCTCAAATCTGTCAAATCTGACTCATTAAAGTTCAAAAGAAATGGAAGCAGAGGACTTTTAGGTCTAACTGACATGGCTGTGGTGAAAGGTGCTATTCGCAACTGTACCTATCCATCTTCCAAGAAGTTTATTTAGCTCTATCTCTGGCCACAGGATTTCCCTGAACTCCCACGAGATAGTTCATCTTCCTACCCCACTGACTTTAAGCCTGGCCATGTGACATGGAATGAAAGCAGCTATAGTCTATGGCATGTCTGAGCAAAAGTTGTTTTGTTTGTTCGTGTGTGTGTGTGTGTGTGTGTGTCAGTGAGGACTGAACCCAAGGAGAGCTGAGCTATGTCCCCAGCCCTTCAAAAAAAAATTTTTTTTGAGCGGATTTCACTAAATTGCCCAGACTGGGCTCACACTTGCGATCCTTCTCCTACCTTAGCCTCCTGTGTAGCTGGGATTACAGATGTGCACCACCATACCTGACCTGAGCAAAAGTCTTCAGAGGTAACATGGGAACCCAGAAATGAATAAATTCTCACATATTTGGTCAACTAAGTTTTTGTAAGGGTGCCAAAAATACAAAATGGGGGAAAGGACAGGCTCTTCGATAGATGATGTTAGGAAAATTGAGACTACAGCTTACTGTGGCACACATGCTGAAGCGGGCTGTTTGTTACCACTGAAAGCTTTAGAAGGTTCGCCATCACTGGCTTATATCATATACAATCAAAATGGACTGAGGACTTAAATGTAAGACCTGAAACAGTAAAACTCCTAAAAAAGAGGAGAAATGCTCCTTGATAATGGTCTTGGTAGTGATTTTTGGATATGACATTAAAAGCACAGGCAACGAGCAAAAATAAACAAGTAGGATTGGATCAAACTAAAAAGCTTCTTTATAATGAAGACAGTAATCAACAAAATGAAAAGAAAATCTATGGAATGGAACAAAACACATGAAAAACCAAATATCTGATGAACAGTGTCTAAAACATATAATGAGCTGCTACAACTCAACAGCAAAAAAGCCTAACAGTTTGATTAAAAATAAGCAAAGAATCTATACAGTTATATAACAGCTAACAAGAGAATGAAAAGCATCACTAATAATAAAAGCTCAGCATCACTAATAATTAGGGATATGCAAGTCAAAACTATAATGAGACATCACCACATGTTAGGATGGCTATTTTTTTAAAAAATTAATAATCACTGGCAAGACTGTGGAGAAAAGGGAACTCTGAGACATTACTGCTAAGAATGTAAATTGGTACAGCAATTATGGAAAACAGTGTGGAGGTTCCAGAAAAGTTTAAAATAAAATTATTGTTATGATCCAACAATTCCATTTTCTGTTATTTATCCAAAGGAATTGAAACCAGGATCTTAAAGATATCCCTGCATCCCCGTATTCAATGAAGCATTACTGACAACGTTCATCAGGGATAAATGGATAAAAAACATGTGGTAGTATGGGTGTGTGTACATACATACAATGGGATGTTACTGAGCCTCTAAAAAGAGAAATTCTACCATTTTCAACATAAGTGGACCAGGAGAACATTATGCTCAGTGAAATAAGCTAGATATGGAAAGCCAAGTAACTTTATGTAATCCTGTGGCTTTCCAAAGGCCTCACCTCTAAACATGAGGGTAAGATCAAGTTCCCACTCACTTCATTTCTCATAATGGAGATTAAATGTCAATACATGAAGCTCTTGGGGGACACTCAGACTATGTATCGCAACCACAGAGGAATCTAAAACAGTCTAACTCACAGAAGGCGGGGGAAATGGAGAGATAATGGGCAAAGCCTACAGTTTCAGTCGCACAATTTAGTCCTGGACATCTACGCTACAGTGTACTGCTTACAGCTAATAATTGCATACTTAAAATTTTCTAAAAGGGTAGATATTTTAATGTAGTTTTATTTTTGCATGTTAACTTGTGAAACACTGAAAACATCAATGCGATATTTTGGTATATGCACATATCTTGACAATATCTACTCTCCCCCTTTGCCCTCCCTTATTGCCCCTCCTTATTCCCCTCTTTTTGTCTAATAATGGTTTCTAAGAAAAATTAGATTTTTTTTTTTTTGGTAGTGGGGATGGAACTCGGGTCCTTGTGCTTGCAAGGCAGGCGCCAGAACCACTGAGCTACATCCCCAGCCCAGAAAAGGTAGATTTTATGTTTAAGTGTTCTTAACACATACATAGACATAATAATAATAGTGAAGGTGAGGGAAATTTGGGGAGGTGATGGCTATGTCTCTGTCTTTGATGGTGGCAAAGGTTTCACAGGATTCATTTATCCAAAACTCATCAAGTTGTATACACTAGATATAAAGCTTTAAAAGGTATTAAGATTTTTACCCTTCCTCTACTGCTCTTCTGACAAAAACAGCCATGACCTACAAAGAAGTTGTGTTCCCAAGTGAGAAGACACATAGAGCCAACTCAGCTTGGAAGACAGCCATTGCTAAAGTATAGTCTACAAGTAAAATGAGCAAAAACTAAATCTTTGTTACTCCAGGCCATTGAAATTTCACTGTTTTATTTTTTTCCTGCAGCAAAGCTGATTAATACTAATACAGTGGCACCTGGTTTCCATGATCCTGGCTGCAGAATTTGTACCATGATACTTGTGGAAAGAATTAAATTTATGAACCAAGGTACCACTGTAGTGACTCTAACATAAAAGCATGGATCCCTGAGTCACAGCTTAGACAGCGCCCAGAGATTCATCCAACAGCCCAGAGATTCAGTACATTTGTGTAGGACTGTTGGATTAATAAGAAATAAATTGTCATTGCTCTCAGCCACAAAATGCTGAGCTTGCTTGTTACTATAATTAATCTACCATGATTAACATACTGTTAGGTCTTTCCTTATCACCAGAGTGATTCATTCTGTATTCTACTTCTATACTTTACCCATACTTTTTTTACATACCAGCTACTTTATGAGCTCTATGAGGATTCTCGATTACTTTGGGCAAGTTATTATATTTCCTACTTGCCTCTTCATTTTGAAATGGGAATATGTACTTACCCTGTGCCTGCTTTTCCCATATTATGTATTGGAAGTAGATAATTTGTTTTGATTTTATAGACTCACTGCCAGAAAGAGTTTGCCTTGAGTCTTTCAGACACAGCTGTCTAGAAACACAACATTTGGGAACTGATTATGACTAGGAAGTTCATCAAGGTAAAAGCCCCTATGGTTGGATACTGGTGGCTTTTTAAGAGGAAGAGAGACTAGACATTACACATGCTCCTGGGCCACTGGTTTAAACATGAAGTCCTCCAAAGACTCGTGTATTGAAGGCTTGACTCCCAATGCAGCAATGTTCAGAGGTAGGATCTACAGAGGTGACTGAATCATGAGGGTGCTAACTTCATCTAAGGAAAACGGATTGTTAGAGGGTGGCACCCAGTGGGAGGAAGCCAGTTACTAGGGACATGCCTTTGAAAGGCAGATCTCTTCTTGGGCTCTCTCTCTGATTCCTGGCTGCCATGAGGTAAAGCAGCTTTCCCCTGCCACACCCTCCCACCATGATACTTCTGCTTATGGAGCCAGCAGACCATGGACTGAATCCTCTGACACCACAAACCCAAACAAATCTTTTCTCCTTTAAGTTGTACATATCAGGTGCTTTATCCTAGGAATTTAAAGGTGACTAATATAGACACTTGGAGACTCTGTCAGCAAGATCATTACCACATGTGGCCCTTCTACCTTGGACCTCCAGAACCAAAAGAAACCTATTTTCTTTAAAATGTGGCACAGGTATTCCTTGTTTAATGACCTACATGTTTAACCAATGTTCATACTTACAACCTTTTATTTGTACAGTTCTGTACATCTTTTTTATAGAGCCCCAATGTCTTTTTTATACTGTATGTATACCTTATTTATACAGTACTGTAATTTTCCTGATTATACTGTATAGTACTGTAGTTTTATATTGTTATGCATCACAATAATGCATATAAGTTATGCAAATAAAAGTCATCAGGGCCGGGGATTTAGCTCAGCGGTTCGGTGGCCTGCCTTGCAAGCACAAGGACCTGAGTTCAATCCCTGGTACCAAAAAAAAACCAAAAAAAACAAAACTCATCAACTGGGCCTGGTGACACACACCTGTAATCCCAGCACTCGGGAGCAGGAGGATCTATGAGTCCAAAGTTAGTATGGACTACATAATGACTTCAAGGCCAGCCTGAAGTACATATACAATTCCTCATTTACCTACCAAGTTGCAGGAATGGAACTCGATAAACAGGGAATGTCTGTATCATTGTATGAGCAATGAAAAAGGATGACTACACTGTATTCCAAAATACATTGAATTAAAACATGTAGCAGATGCTTATTTAAAATTAGGTGCCTCTGATTGTAATGTATCAGTGGTTCATAATGTCCATTCATCCCTAAATATTCTGCAGTTAATAATCTCCCACTTTTAATTTCAGGGTTCCTGTATCATTATTACGTTGATACAGGCAAATAAGGATTGGGAAATAAGGTCTAATTCATAGAATACATTAAACACTGCCAAACCAGAACTGCTTAAACTTAAATGGTACTTCAGGATCACAATGGTCATAAACCTAAAACCTCAAACTATACTGGTAGTACAAAAATTAAGAATGGCTTATTTCTCGAAGCAATTAAACATACACATACATCAGTTCATACCTGATTTCTCTGCTTTTCGATTTCGTCCTCAGATATACAGTTAGACAGGATCTCAGACCACTCCAGGCGCTCCTCAGGTGACCTCATCGAAAGGCTATCAAATATTTCGAAGTAAAGCCACGCCACATCCTTGGCCAACTGCAGTTTCCCACACGCAATATGCCTCCATGTGGACCAGTACAGGCGTGGGTAAGCTCTCTCTGTATACCGGGTTCGCACGTAGGTGGCTATCTTCTTGAGATAGTGAAGACTGAATTTGGAGGGAGGGGGAGTCTGCAAGGCACCCACTATAAAGGGTTCTGCTTTTACCCAGAGGAGAACTCCAGACTGATCCATATTATCGCTAAGGACATCTGAATGAAAAAGCTTCTTTGCATACCTAGGAAACAAAATTTCTTCAAAAACTAATTTGAAACAAATCTTTTCTTGGAAGTGATCACTCTCTTACCTTTTAGACCATCAGGTTAAAAAGGAGCTCTTGTTTAACAAACAAAAGCAGAGTCAATTCTTAGTTAAAGTCCATTGTATTTTAAGCAAAATAGGAAATTGCAATGAAACAAAATGATCTTTTCAATTTGTTAGAAATGTTTTAGAAAAGTGTGTAAATGCATAAAATCTGGGATGGATCTATGCTCAGGACAGGAAAAAAAAAAAAGGAATGGAAAGTGGTGCAAAAAGTCATTTTATGACATAAAACTTTTATCTACCCTGAGGGGGAGCACCAGTGAAAACAAAGAGGAATAAAATGTCAGTGTTAACTCATACATACACAGGATGGCTGGTTAAACGTTTGGATGTCAGCTGACTACACAGATTCAACATGAAGCTCTAGTATGATGTGGTGGACAACAATGCCACTGTAAAGAATGCCCTAGGCTGCAGAAATAGACCAACAGAAGTTAAAGCTTCCTTATTCTCTGTAACAGTGAACCTGCTCTGACTTATACTACTGTTCTCTGTGCGGATGTAATATTTTTATATTTTGTTTGTTGCTTGTTGTACGTAATGTTTATGGAGGGGGAATCATCCACATTTCTACCACTGACACCTAGATAATGTTTTGCTATATATTCTTATTGTTTTTCTGTAGACTGGATTTTAAAATTTTTTTCATAGCTGTGATATCAAATATATAAATCTGTATTTTAAAAGCTTCATAGCATTTAAATGTACTGTTAATTTTTTAAGACGCTTGGGTTTATGATTTTTCATAAAAAATACTGATCACTGTTAGTGCTGGGTAAGGAACAGATGGGGGCATGATGCCTATTTTCCCTTGTGTATGTTAAGTTTCCAGTATAAAAAGTTCAAGTGAGGGCCAGGGATTTAGCTCAGTGGTTCCACGTCCTGCCTCCCAAGTGAAAGGTCCGGAGTTTGATCCCAGTACCAAGAAACAAAACAAAACAAAAGTTCAAATGTTTTTACTACTATACATAATGCTCTGATTACCATCTTTCTGCACATTTTCTACATTATGACTCCTCAGGGATTTTCATATGGGCATCTGTGAAATTAAGTAAGCAACATTTCAGAAGCTCCCAATTGTATCAAAACTGTACCATCATTTGAACAAAATATCCACTTCTTTGAACACTCAACATCAACATTTAAAAAAAAAATCTTTCCTTACATGACTGATTAAAATACCATTTTGCCTTTGACCTTTTTTTTTTAAAGCTTTATGTTAGAGGAGAGAGACTGATTCCAACTCAGGAGGATCAGAGAAAACTTAGAATTGTCTTATGTTTTATTTTGTTTTGTGGTACCAGGGATCAAACTCAGGACCTTGTGCTTGCGAAAACAGGCAGTGGAACCACTGAGTTTAACCCCTGGCCCTGCATTTGACTCTTGATTCTTCTGCAAACTATTCAAACAATAAATGACATGAATGTTTAGTATGTGACAGATGGTATGCTAAACGGTTTGTATATTTTTACAATCATGGGGAGATATATGATTTCTTTCACTTTAGACAAGAAAACTGAGACTTAGAGAAGTTAAGGGGCTAACCTAAGAGCAAATTTAGTTGGCACAGCCCTCGATTAGGATTCAGGTTGGATATGCGAATTGCATTACTACAAATAAAACTTTGGGAAACCTATGGTTTCCAAATCTCTTGAAAAGGACTGAGAATCTCTGAAAAAGGAGGATCCAGAAATGGATTTTTAAAAACTTACACAAGGCTATTTTAAGCGCAAGGTGAAGGAACATGGAAGTAGACTCAGGAGAAAGGCACAGAAGAGTAAACGGCAGCTGTGTCCCAACATCATAATGGCTTGTCCTTGTTCAGGATACAGCCAGACCACGAAGGTATGCCAGGAAGACCTCAGCTCTGCCCAAAATGAAGATAAGCTGCTTGTGAGGTACTGAAGTGTGCAACCCAAAACCAGATCCTGAGGAAGAACCCTATCTCCAAAACTGGAGCGCCAGACGCAAATATAACCTAGGGGTTTTCCTCTTGGGGAGTGCTGGGGCCAAGGCTTTTCTGGTCGGGGAAGGGACCAGGGCGGCCCGAGCACTAGGGCTGGGCTTCGCTTACAGATATCCCAGGTGACAGTCTGTAGCTGTCTCGAGACACGGACAAATCCAAGCCGTCCTCCCAGGCCAAGGAGAAGCTGGCGGTACCACCCTCTCTCCCTAGGCCCGCACGAGCGAGAGCCGTTACCTGCGAAGGTGGGAGCCGGGCGGCCGCACCTCGCCACGTCACGCTCTGCTGCGCCCGGCATCCCGCGCGCGCCCCATCCAACTCTTCCCTCAGCCCCTCCCCGCGACGCCCACCGCGCAAGCGCAGGGCCTCCCACCACCGAGAGCGGGAGGACCGTGTTGCTAGAGCGGTAGGTTCCGTCTAGACTCGGGGACAAACTTTCGTTAAAATGAAGAACTCTTGATGCCGTGGTCCCGAGTCAGACCCGTCGGTTTCTTGTGTCACGCCTTTCAGTCCAAAAGGGTAGCTATGGAGAGCATTGTAAAGGAACACAACATGATCACAGCCATACTGACCTGTGATTCACCCGAGCAGTGTGGACGTGCTGTCGCCCATAGCAATGGGCTAGTTCAACTGGTGGTCCTAGCAAATGTAACGGTTTACTGGTGGTCTGATCTGTTTAAGGGTTTCCTTCTGGAATGTGTGGGAGGTACTGTCTTGCAGCCGGACAGCTGGAGAGTATAAAAGGAGAGGTTCGGTAATAAAGCAAGGACCATGAGAAGAAAAGTGCCTCCCGTCTCTCTGTCCTCGTCCTTCCAAGTTTAGGACCTGCTGGCAGGATCCTGACGTCGCGGCTCACGACAGGTAGCATGTTTTCTACTGCTCCACAGAACAGTGGTCAGCCAGTAGCTACAGGTAAGGTTAGCACGTTTTGATCGGTAAAAAAGATAATGGCAGTTTACTTCCGTGGACCGTTTAGTATGGGCTGGGCACTAAGTAAAGCACTTTAATTGTATTAACTCAGCTTCTCAAGAGCCCTTGCAAGTTAAACGTGTTTGTGTTGCTGATGAGAAAAGTAGGATATAGAAAGGTAAAAGTAACATACTCCTAAAATCACATGGCAAGAAACACACGAGATTAAAACCCGGGCCCCTGAAAGCCAACCCTACCCCGCACCCCCCGTCTCAGCCCCACTCATCCTTAACTGCTGCCCTGTTATTGCCTTCGTGAGGTTTTTATTGGATCCCACCCTGCCACAAGAATTTTAGAGAAGAATTAATGCCACTTCTCCTCAAATTCATTATGAAATTGTAGTGGAAACAATATACCCAAACTCAATCCTAGAAGCAAACATATCCCTGATGCCAGAACCAGAAAAAGATTCAACCAAAAATGAGACCTCAAGGTCAATTTTCTAATGAATATAGATACAACAATCCTCGATAAGATGCTGGCAATCAAACAGCAGCAAGTCATCAAGAAAATTATCCACTGTGACCAAGTAGTAGGATTTATCCTAGCATTGCAGAGATGGTTCAACATATACAAATCAATACATGTAATAAATAATTTCAATAGAACCAAGGACCAAAAAAAAAAAAACCCAAAAAACCATGATTATCTCAATAGAAGCAGAAAAAGCATTTGACAAAGTCCAACACTCACTAATGATAAAACTCTATAGAACATTAGAATGAAACAAACAGAACAGTCCAGATTCGTGCCCTCATGAATTTGGCATTGCAGTGTGTGAGAGTGCAGAGGGAAGGGTTGGAACTGAAATAAAATATAGTGCAGTGTGAAAAGTAAAGGACTCAATAGGAGCTAATTTTGATGGGTCAGGGAAGTTCCCTCTGGGGTGGTTACGTTTGTTATTGGAGTTAAAAAAAAATCACTCATGCTGGACTCTTGAGGGAGGAAAGAATATTCTACGCAGAGAAAACAGGTAGTATAAAGGCTCCAAACAAAGGAGTTTATATATTTAAAAGAGAAAGGAAGCTAGCGTTTCTGGAACGTGGTAGGGTGTGTAATAAGTGAGGGATAGGCCAGGGTTCTGCCACCTGCCTCACAAGTGCAAGGTCCTGAGTTCAATCCCCGGTACACACACACACACACACACACACACACACACACACATACACACGAGGGTACAAATCATATAAGGCTTTGTGAGTTAGCGCAGAGTTAGCATTTTAGTCTAGGAACCATGAAAAGCTATTAGAGGTTTTTAGGCAGGAGACTGACATGATTTGACATTTTTAATAATCATGGGGTGGGGAGTCGGAGGATACATTAAAATACTATACTAATAATATTAAGAATGGAAGTAGGGAAACCAGTTAGGAGGCCTTTCCAGGTAAGAAATGAACTTGGCCCAAAGACATGTTAATAGATTCGAGATATGGGCTGGGGATTTAACTCAGTGATTCCGCCGCCTGCCTTGCAAAGCAAGAACCCGAATGTTAGATCCCCGGTCCAAAAAAAAAAAAGAAAAAAAATAGGTTCAAGATAAACCGTACTTGGGAAGTAAAGATGTGGATAGTTTACACTGAAAACACCTAGCGTTTTGTCCTGAACAACTCGCTGGTGCGTTTACTGTGGTGAGCAAAACCGGGGAAAGAGTTCTGTTTTTACTGTAATAATGGTTTTATTCATTGCGTGCTTACTACGTGCCGCTGTTGTAGGCAAAGTACAGATTTTTCTACATTAAAAATTCAAAAACCTGACAGGAAGTGCTCTTAGTTTTGTTAATAAGCAGGCTCCGAATTGGGGTAGTGGGTTGTCCGCCGCTGAGCGGTGCTGGAAGCTCGGTCTGAACTCAAGCCGGTGTCTCCCGGGTCGCACGTCTCTGTAAGGTACCGCGCCTCTTTTCTATGGAACCGAGACAATTCCCCTGCCAGGTTGTCGGGATACCGTAAAGTGAGATCTCCAGTCAGGGAGTCTCTCATACGGTCGGGGCGAAGTAACTCAGCCATAAGTTTCAGTTCATCCTTCCCTCGGAGCCCGCATCCCAAGCGTAGCGCCCGGTGAAAATTTGAGGCTTATCACGGAGATAAACCTCCCGCCCTCCATTGGTCAGGCTGGAGAAGCCTCGTCATTGGGGGAAACTCCGAGGAGGCGGGGAGAAGGAAGAGCCCTGAAGCCCAGGTGCCCTCACTTGGCACCGCCCCTACCTTTTACGTAATTTTCACGACTCAAGGGAGCCGGGGCTGAGCGGCTTCCTGCCGTGGCGCGACCCTCTGACGTTTTTTCTTCTGATTGGTCAGAAACTGCGGCTGCAGTTCCGAGGTCTAACTGGCTGTCCAAGCAGCCTCGGAGGTGAAGTGTACCGCGCTGATTGGCTCCGACGTGCCGGCCTCGTGTGATGTCCCGGGTAGCGATTGGCCCTCGCCTGCTGGGGGCTCCTCTCACCGGGACTCGGGACTCCCGGGAAGTGGACTGGCACAGGAGGGGGCCGGCCGGCTGTCTGTGCCGACCAAGCCGGAAGACCCCCCGGCGTGAGGCTCCCTCAGCACGCCAGGAGGGCTGGCGAGCCAGAGCGGCGGCGGAAGAGGCCGTGAGGAATACGCTGGATCAGAGTAGGAACGAAAAGGGAATCCCGAGTGGGGCGGGTCGTGTGGCCAGGCTGGTGGGGTCCGAGGGGAGCCTGCGTGGCGAGACAGAGGACCTCACAGAGGCCCTGCAGAGCTGGGCTTGCCCAGGAGAGTGGGAGTGGGGTGCAGTGCCACACACTGCGTCTGGGGAGCGGACGGAGTTTGAGGGGAAGAAAGTGGTTGTAGTAGGAACGAAAAGGGAATCCCGAGTGGGGCGGGTCGTGTGGCCAGGCTGGTGGGGTCCGAGGGGAGCCTGCGTGGCGAGACAGAGGACCTCACAGAGGCCCTGCAGAGCTGGGCTTGCCCAGGAGAGTGGGAGTGGGGTGCAGTGCCACACACTGCGTCTGGGGAGCGGACGGAGTTTGAGGGGAAGAAAGTGGTTGTGAGCTGGGGAAGGAAAGGGGGCAGACACCTCGCTGTAATGGAGACGGTCACGGTGCCCGGCCGAGGTGGGCGCGGTGGACGCATCTGTGGTGAAGGAGGAGGGTTGAGTCCTGCCAAGCCGGAGAAGAGGACCGTGCAATGCGAAGCCTGCGACAGGCATTAAAGTGAGGGGCTTGTGACGCCAAGCCACGCAAGGACTGGAGGCAGGGAAGCCAGGTGTGGACCGCCGGGTTGAGGAAGCAAGAAGACCCTTTAGGGCTAGGACGTTTCCGCGTTTTGAGCTGTTAAACCTGAGCTGTCATTATGCCTCACGTTCTCTCTCCATGGTGCCTTTTGAGAATTTGAATGGTGTGAGTAGGAGTAGTTCACCCAGAGATAGTAAACTGGGATTCCAGCCCACACGTACGAATCACATAGCCTGGAAAGAACTACATAAATTGCCATCTGTAACAGGATAATATCGTGCCAGGCTGATGCAAAGATAATGGGGAAAAGATGGACTCTTGATCTTTGCAGCCTTTAAAATTCAAGGTCCTATAATCCTGGTGACCCAGCATATGGTGTATTTTAGAATGCAGGAAATAATAGGTCTTAGCTGATAGCAATTTATAGAATATTCTAAATGAGGAAGGTACAACCTACATGGCTTTAAAACTTACGTTCTCAAAAAGGGTAAACTTTGCATATTAAACCCTTTGCACATATGCTTAAATTTTGTTATTCTTTTTCCTTATGAAAATTTTAAAGTTAACCTCTCCTAGATAATGTTTTGTTTTTTATCTTAATAATATCTACACCTGAAGTCACAAGTACTCTAAGATATTTAATAAAACATCAATATCAACACTTTTAGGGCTGGGGATTTGGCTCAGTGCTTCTGCCGCCTGCCTTGCAAGCGCAAGGACCTGAGTTTGATCCCTGGTACCTCCCCAATCAACACTTTTAGTAATTGAGCTTTAAACTTAAGTCATTCATAAAGGAGTGTCTTAAGGAGTGTAATGTTGATGCTGAGTTATACCACCCATCTTTTCCCTGCATTTTTTTCTGAGCTGTTACCTCGAGCGGTAGTTACTGGGGATTGATTCCAAAGCTTTCCCACTGAGTTACATCCCCAGCTCTTTTATTTTGTTTGTTTGTTTTGTTTGTTTGTTTTTTGAGACGGTGTCACTACGTAGTTGAGACTGACCTGGAACTCACTGTGTAGCCCAGGCTGGCCTTGCACTCACAGTGATCCTCTTGCCTCAGCCTCCTGAGTGCTGGGATTGCAGCCTGCCTGCAGCTCTTTTATTTTGAGAGAGGGTTTAAATGAACCAAATTCTTAAGCCTTACTCTTCATACAGTTAGTCCTTTTGTTATTTAGTTCCCATCTCAAGAAATGTCAAAACTGTACATATTTGGGGAAGCCCTATTTTATTATGGAACCCCTTGTGGGTAATAATTTTTAAAAACTGATACATAAATTTGTGTAAAGCGTGACTAAAAGCATACTAATTTTTAAATACTGTTTTCTATCACCTGGGTCTTGGAACTACAATATATTTTTCCCTGATACATTTAAAAATTACCATCACTGCTAAATCAATGTCTCAGTTGTGAATAACAATTCCATCATTGTTGAGATAATGCATTTTCTGAATAAATTCTGGTGGCTAACATTACTTTTGCAAAAGGAGTAGATTTTTAGTGTTCTTATTTATTTCATTCACTGAACATTTATTGATCTTTTCCAATAGATAGGATCCCTATCCTGAAAGTTTATTATGGTTTTATTCTGTCTTCCCATTACAATTTCCCATTCCTTTTATAATTAACTTGATTCCAGCATTATCCCTAACCAGGTCAGTGGGTTTCTATCTTGTCTCCTGGTTCAGGCCATATGCATTTTCGCTGCTACTAAAACAGAGAGTCTCCTGCTTATGGGCTTTAGAAGCTGTCTATAATAAAGATTTGATCTAGATAAACTATTAACAATGGGTGCAGACATATTTTCTATTTTGCTTTTAGGGGCAAAAAAAGCCAAAACAAAAAAACACTACAGTCCACACATCCAGATGGGTGTTAGTCTGTCTTCAGATTATCTGGGCTCTGGTTTAACCCCGTTGTGTTCAATCTGAGGCCCATGGGCCACTTCCCCTCTCCTTACATTTTTTGAAATATTATAATAAAAGCTGTTGTGAAAAGGAAGTTTCGTTACTTACATACATTAACTATGTTGTATATCTCATATAGAGCCCAAAATAATTCCTCTTCACTCAGTGCAGCCCAGGTAAACGAGAAGGTTTCAAATCACTTTAACCTCTGAAGTTAGCTTTGAGTTACTTTATCTTTAATCTTCTGAAAGTCTTACTGTTAGGACATTGATGTAACGTAATTTTTCTGAATAAAGAAAACCATTCTTTGAGGTTATTTGACTCTTGGAAACAGTCAGAGGTCATTTGGAATCAGTATAAGGAAAAGGGGAGGGTTGATTAGATTATATGGTTATTACCCAAAAATAACATGACCATAAAATTTAAAAAAATAGTTTCTTTCCCTTTTTTTGTAATGCTGAGGATCAAACCCAGGGCCGTATAGCGTGGTAGACAACCACTCTTCCACTGTACAGTACCCTCAGCCCTAGATAAATTATTTAACTGAGAGAAGTTTTAAAAGAAGAGTGCCACAGATGTTTTGAATAATCTAACATTGCCCATAAAATACTTTGCTTCTCACACTGTGAATATTCAATATATGACTCATTAAAAATTGTGGTAGGTTTCCTGCGTGTCACATACACCTTCATTTTTGTACCTCTTGCTCAGACCTCAAATGTAAAAGGTGAGAAAAACCCTTTCAATTTCAAAAATGTAACATATAATTCTTCAATGAAGAATTCTGTCCTCCTTTCCAGGCGAGATTTCTATAAGATCTTGGGGGTGCCGCGCAGTGCCTCTATAAAGGACATTAAGAAGGCCTACAGGAAGCTAGCCCTGCAGCTTCATCCTGACAGGAATCCTGACGATCCCCAAGCCCAGGAGAAATTCCAGGATCTGGGTGCTGCTTATGAAGTGAGTCAAGAAAACTGAGATGTGAACAAAGCCTATAGAGCCGAAAAAGACTATAAAATGCAGAGAAACACTCCTTTAGGTCATTTCTACTTAAAATTTGACAGTAGATAGAAGTAAAAATAGTGCTCTGTATTGTGCTGGATATTACAGTTATATTCATGTTCATGGATACTATTTCCTGCCTTTTTCATGTTTATATTAATGAGGGGTGTAATGATGAAGAATAAAAATAACACTGATAGATTATAAGTAAAGATTGATCTGTCCGTCAGTTTCAGAGATAGAGCTAGAATTATAAACAGTTGAGGAGTTCAAACCTAAATGCCCATGTGGACCAGATAACGGTCAGGAATGAGCTAAACCATGACAATGGTACTCTGCCTCCCCATTGGTTCCCAGTAGGGATCGATGAAGACGGTGATGAACTGCTGCCTTCTTGCTTTATATCAAAGGAGCTGATAATATGCAACCCTGGCCAGTTTTTGTCATATACAAATGCCGTCAGTGTTGCTAGGTATTGCATTGGGATCTCCTCTCCGAAGGAATCTCCAAGGACTTTATAGGACAGAAATTCTTAACCTGGAACCCATGAATAAACTGGAGAGGTTTGACAGCCCTTCTTAAATTATATGTAACATTTTGTTTCTTGTCAATAATATGGATTCCATATTTTGCACTCTACTTCTCATGAATAGTCCCATTGTTTGCTAGGAATCCAGTATGCAAAAGTACTGCCACAGGAACTTGACCGCTCAGTGAGGAATCTAGCCTGTCCTTTATCCATGTTCTATGCAGACTGTATATATATCATTTTTGAAATTGCAGCTTATTTAACTCTGGTAATCTTTTCAGTCACTAGATTTTCTTTTTTCTTTGTAAACAGTCAAGCTTGATTGCCTTTTGCCCTAGATAAATGAGAGTTCACGAATCAGAGTCTCAATACAGTAAGAAGAGATGAAGAGTCTTCTGACTCTTATGGATACAAATTTGTTTTCTCTTCTGAGCTGGGATTACTGTTAATTGCTTAAGAATCTGCATATTGGTTGGCCAGTCAACTAAGGACCTTTTATGCTTTTAAAAACAAAATAGTGCAGAGAAGGAAAAAATGGAAACAAAGTCTTTGTAAATAGGGAAAGGTGGCTAGGGGGGGTATGGGGAAAAAATAAGAACCAAGATATATCATGTAAGTGTACAAGATCCCAATGCTGAATGTAACTGTACTGTATACCTAAAAAGTACCAATAAACTCAATGAAAGAAAAAAAAATACTGCAGGCATGATGGCTTACACTTGTAGTCTCAGCCTCTTAGGAGACGGAGACAGGAAGATTGCTTGAGCCCAGGAATCCTGGCCAGCCTCAGCAATATAATGAGACCTCATCTCAAAAGAAAGAAAGAAAATAGTTTCTAAGACAGTGGGATACAATTGTATTTCTTAGGTGAAGAGGGAGCAAATGATTATATGATTTTGCAGGTAGTTTTTGAGAGGTCTTTACAGAAGAAGCCTCTGGTGTCCAGAAAGAACCTGATTTTAAATGGTCTATATTTTCAGGTTTTGAGATGGTGTTTTCATAGAACCAAATACAGTCTTCATTTTCTTGTCTAAATAATATCCGAGAAGTAGACTGGAAAATTAAAACATTGGGAATATAGGTTGTGTAATAGCTTGTTTTTGTTTTCAGGTTAACTCTGCTTCACCAAACTACCTTTTTTTTTTTGGTACCAGGGATTAAACTTGTGAGTCAGGCCGCGGCACCACTGAGCTAAACTCCCGTCCCCAAAGTACCTATTTTCTAAGAATGATTTCCAAAACATCCTTTCTATCATCTGATGTACCGTAGTGCCTTTTTTTACAGTGGTATTGGTAACTTAGTGATTTAATGAGCACAAACCTCTTTGTCTTTGTTTGTAAAGAAAGCTGAGGGTCTTATAAACTAAACATCTGGGTATCCTTCTAAATATATCTTAAAGGTTTATCATGGTCCCTTCACATCATTCAGTCCCTGAGCCAAAAGTGTGTCCTGTTTGAATATCCCAGTCAGATCTTTCCTTTTTTTTTTCTTTCCAGGTAGATCAACAAACCCCATCTATTTCCAGACTCTCTCTAATGAGGTCACACAAGTATGGTGTATGTGTGTGTGTGCGCGCGCTCGCACATGCACGCGTGTGTTGTTTTCCTCTCTTTTTCAACACAGAAACCTGCTTAGAGCCAAGGTTTTAGCTAGTGGTGCCACCACCTGCCTTGCAAGTGCAAGGGCCTGAGTTTGACCCCTAGTACCAAAAAAAAGGAACCTACTGGATCTTTACCTTCTTGGGTGTCATGCAGAGAGGGTGGATTCAGCAAGTAAACATGTAGCCATGACAGTATAGTTTTGTAAAATTACTGAGACTAAAAAATTGAATTCAAGTGGTAAAACTGACCTTGAACAGCCTTCATCAAATAATGTCCCTTCTTACCTCCTTGAACTCGGCACTATAAAACCAAAAAAAAAAAATCTATGCCTGGCAGCATTCTTCCACAAATTAATTTCTGCATATACCAAAACATGAAAATAAGGCGTATGAGACTAGAACAGCATAGCTCTTGCCAGAGGGCATGTCACCCTTGTTCCTTAGCTTGACCTACCGTAGCCTAGTTTGGAGACCAGAGAGAGAAAATGGCATAAGGATGAGCAGCATAAGCAGAAGCTGTATGCCAAGTAAGCCCGAGCAGGCCATCTTACCCCTTTCCCAGGAACTCCCTGACCATCACAGCCAGTTTTCAAGTCTGATTTAAGTTACTAAGGGAGGTTTGATAACTTCATATTAACACATGAATCAGTCCATTTGGCATGGACAGTACACCAAAGAATTTAATCTGCTAGAGAAACAACATACATTAATGAAAACCACCCTTCCCTGAAATCTTAGACACAGTGTCAGAGTGAGAAAAGGACCATACATGTGAATGTGCCTTGACTGAATATTACCTGGGATGATCTCTCCACTGGCTTTTTTCCAGGTGCTGTCAGATAGTGAGAAACGGAAACAGTATGATACTTACGGTGAGGAAGGATTAAAAGATGGTCATCAGAGCTCCCATGGAGACATTTTTTCACAGTAAGTAATTTACCCATTTGCAAAATATTAGTGTCTGGCAGTTTAGTGGTTTAATGAGCAAAATTATTCTTGTAAGCAGAGGAAAATCCCTACTCTTATACCCGAATCTCCCTCTTTTGTCCTGTCAACAAGAGAGGGTTGATTCCAATAACCGCCATTGGAGAAGGAATTAGGGTGGAGGCTCCTTTTTTCCTTTCTGGCAGTGTGAAGTGGCTAGAATATTAAACCCCTCTGCTCTTCACTCTTTGAATCCCTCTTTGCTGACATTTGACTCTCTATAATGCCATGTACTAGGAGAGCTTAGTCTGAGAGCCAGGTCTGAAGTTATAAGTAAAAACATGTTTGGATTTTGAATTTTTAAAGGCACAGAGTTCATTTCTTTATTCAGATTCTCAATGGCATCTATGATCCCTTTCCCAGAAGAAGTAAGAATCATTGTTGCATACAGTAGCTTCCTGCATTCAGTGTTTGGGGCTGATAGTAGACTTCCAGGACTTGGAAAGATGTGTCCTGTTGTGATTAGAGTACCTTTCTCTCTCCTGAGATCAGTGTAGCTGTTTAAGCCCCCTGGGGAAGTATCTGTTCCCCTTGACCATTCAGAGAGTGACCTGGGATGTCAGAGAGAGAGGCAGCTTTCCCCACACACATGCCCTCCTCCCTCCCAGCTTCCAGGGTTCAGGAATACAGTCTCCAGGGGTGGTTGGTGGGAGAGGGAGTTATGTAGTTGTTATCATCACCATTGTAATATCCAAGTCTTCTAAAATGCCACCAAAAATTGACCTGAAGTTAGATGAAGGTCACTGCTTTTATTAATCTCAAAGTGGTTATCTTGTTACTTACACAAATTAATTTCAATCTTGTAGAAGCCAGAACATATTTTTCCTTAAATAATAGAACTTTACTAAGATGATGCTATTTTAGCTTATTTAAAATCTGCTCCCAAGGTTTTTGTACAGAGTAGTAGCTTCTTTTACCAAGGTTAACTTCTCAAAAGTACACTACATGTTTGAAACTACTCTTAAAATTTTTTTAACCATCAAGTTCAGCATTACACATAGTTACATATACTTTCCCCTTTCTCAATAAATCTGCCCATTCTGGAGTTTTTCAGTGTTAAAGCATGTTATTTTATTGGTCGAAACCAACATTTGATTCAGTAGCATATACAGTTTGTGTCTATGCTGTACTGTTTGGACCATGTTGTATCAAAAGGTACAATTTTTTGTGGTGGGCAGCGAATAGTTGCAGTGTAGTAAATATTATATAAACTCAAAACTATGGTGTATGACTTTGTATTAAAAATACTCAGTTTTGTACAATGGGCGAGGAAGCAGCACTAATTTATCACTGTGAAGAAAACTAAATAACCTTGAGACATAAACTCAGATTTCTTCTCCTAATGATTTCACACTTATCTATAGCTTCTTTGGAGATTTTGGTTTCATGTTTGGAGGAACCCCTCGTCAACAAGACAGAAACATTCCAAGAGGAAGTGATATTATTGTAGATCTAGAAGTCACTTTGGAAGAAGTGTATGCAGGAAATTTTGTGGAAGTAAGTTCAAATGATACAGCTGCTAATATCAACTTCCAGAATTTGTACTTTTAACTAAAACTAAGAGATTTAAAGCATTGCTTGGCAGATAGCAAGTGTGTTCTAATCACTGTGTTTTTGCTGTAATTTACTCAGTTGACCTGAGCTTTCACATGTTGGCAGGCCGAAAGAGATTTTTCTCTAAACTGTTTGTGTCATTTTTCTGTGTGTGCATATGGGCTTGTCATTAGGCAAAAATAGGAATGTATTTCTTTATATAGATCAACTTCGCATTAGAGGGTTCAGAGATTTGATTGCAGTTAACTACAAAGAAATGGTCATTATGTCTCTTCCTGTGTGTTAAAAGTGTGTGGATGGAGATGGCACTGGAAAGTAGTCCTAGGCTAAGTTGCCTGAAACGAGGAGGCCTTTTCATTAATCATAGGGTTAGATGGTAGCTACATAGCAGCTTCTTTTGAACATAGGGGTTGTCATTTGGAGGTTATACGTTCGTTGCACAACTTGAGGTTGCTTTAAGGATAGTAATTCTATGAGCTAATTTAATCCAGTAGCACTTATTTGTGGCTTATCATGCATTTTATTGTTAGTTCTCTTCTTATCCCTCTCTCCTTTCCAACTTTAGAATTTGAGTCATTTAACACATTTACAATGGGGCTGTGATTCAGGTCTCACTACAGGCAGCTCTAAACTGCTGGTGCTACATACATGACTGTCCCCTCTAGCAGTCCCGTCACGGGACAGTCCTGTCAGGTGGTGCCAGCCTCCCAGTGGGACAGTTGTGCAGGTACCACCAATGGTTCAAGCCGGGGGGAACGTGTAAAGTATGTGTTTGGTTCATTCCTGTTTGGGGGCTCCTTTAACTCTTCAGAGAGTATTGTCAGCTTTAGGTCTGAGAGACAGTTTGCCAGAAAAGGAGAAGTTACACCCCAGGCATGTGTGCAGAGCGTGTGTCTGTTGAAGAAACTGAAGCCTATTTTTGTGCATTTCTTAGGTAGTTAGAAACAAGCCTGTGGCCAGGCAGGCTCCTGGCAAACGGAAATGTAACTGTCGGCAAGAGATGCGGACCACTCAGCTGGGCCCTGGGCGCTTCCAGATGACACAGGAAGTGGTCTGCGATGAGTGCCCTAATGTCAAGTAAGTGAAATCACCTCTGTGCTTCTGCCAGTAAATGCTTGAACAGGCTCATTTGTCTACTAAAACTCTTACTGTCTGTATTTAGCCCTGTCTTTACCATATTCTCCCAAAGCATGGAGCAAAGAAATGTGCATTTTAAAACTCTTCCCTGCAGTGTTTCTTATAAATATCTCTCTTTATTTATTATTGTTATCATTATTATTATTAGGTACTGGGGATCGAACTCAGGTCCTTGCACTTGGAGGCAGGTGGCAGAACCACTGAGCTAAATCCCTGGCCGTCCCTTTAATTTTTAAACTGATAAGCAGTGTCATTTACCTCTGATTACCCTTGACACATTAATGTTTTGTTTACTTCCTACTTGGGCCGTTAGGACAATCTTACATGTTTTTGTAGTACAGAATGGCTTTGCCCTGATTGTGGCACGTCGAAGAAGTAGACAAATCTCAGAGAGCTTTGTCAGGTAGAGGCCTAGTAAAGTTTTCGAGAAGAAGGTCTGATAGAATAGATAGAACTTGGTATGTGTCTGGGGTTTCATGTTTGTTTTTTTTTAATTCCGTTTGTCACAGACTAGTGAATGAAGAACGAACGCTGGAAGTGGAAATAGAGCCTGGAGTGAGAGATGGCATGGAGTACCCTTTCATTGGAGAAGGTGAAATGTGGATGACTTTCTCATCATGACTGCTTGTACTTGCTTGTGAATCCCTCTCACTTCCCCTCACCACACGTCTTATATGGCTGCATAGTCAATGAACATATAATTTCTGGTACTCTTCAGCCAGTTTTAGATTAGTGTGACTAGTTAATCACTGAAGCATTAGCATTACTGTTCATCCTTTGAATATAATGGCCAAAAGTTACTACCAGGTTGCCTAAGCTTTATCAAGATTTAGCATGTCCAGATCTTAATGGATCAATTTTTAACTCCAGCAGTAAAGGAAGATATATAATTCTCGTTGGAGAATTAAATTCTTGCAGCTGCCTAGTAACTTTGTGGTGTATGTGTGGACTTTGTGTGTTCTGTGATCTTCTCTGACCAGGTGAGCCTCACGTGGATGGGGAACCCGGAGACTTAAGATTCCGAATCAAAGTTGTCAAGTAAGTAGTTGAATTTTAGAGGCTATTTAGGCCCTGCTTTTCAGATGACTCAGGTTACAGTGATAATGAATGCAGACTTTTTCCTTTGTTTTTCTCCATTATACCATAAGCAGGTATTTGTAACTATAACATTACTGAAAATTTGGGGTTGGGAATTGGGATAGAGCCCCAAGTATTTATTGATATAGGACTTGTAAATCAAAGCAGTGTTGCAAGGAAAGGATCGAAACCTAAGGAGGTGTTTTATTTTAAAGGTTAACAGGAAGGCGGGGAGCCAAGGAGATCTGTGGGTTTTGGCTGATGAACTGTAGCACCACTTGAGAACAGGAGGCTTTTCCATAGAAGGGACCTTCTGTTACATAATACGCAGCTGCTCCATGTACGGGCTTCTCTTCAACATGAGGTGCTGCTTAGACTAGAAGTTTGCCCAGAACTTGAGCTTTCTCATTTATCATTTCTCTCTTGTTACCAGTTAGAAACCAGAGACCCTTCTCATCTACGGATTCATTAAGATGATTCCCACTGGAATCTGCTGAGGACTTTCCCATTCTCTTTCAGTGATCTTTCCCCCAGCTTTTCTCCCCTGCCTGTCCTTCTCATCGCTTCCCTGAGAAGCTGGAGCCATACGCTGTTCCCTCAGTAAGCCCAGTGCCATCCCAAGTCCTCTCCTTTGCCGAATTCCCTCTAGCCTGTCCCCTTTCCCTGTTGTCACCTTAGCTCATCTCTGGTCCTCACCTGGCCTCATGGGTCCAGCTCATAAAACCACACAGAACTATTTCTAACGCCCATCTCTCCAGTCCCTGCTGCTAAACCTTCGTTTTCATAATCTAAAAACTGAGATTTTTTCCTTACATATTTTAGTTTCTGATGGTTGTGACTTCCTTAAGAATAAGCTTCAAGCGGGGGATTTAGCTCAGTTGTTCCAGTGCCTGCCTCATAAGCACAAGGACCCAAGTTTGATCCCCAGTACCAAAAAAAAAAAAAGATTAAGGTTCAAGAAGTTGACCACAGCTTTCAAGTCTCAGTATTATGCATCAAAGTGTGTCTAATAAATGCTTATTGTTAGAAAGATTTACCTTGTTTTATTTTTAGGCACCGAATATTTGAAAGAAGAGGAGACGATCTGTACACAAATGTGACAGTCTCGCTGGTTGAGTCTCTGGTCGGGTTTGAGATGGATATTATTCATTTGGATGGTCACAAGGTAAACAAACTAATTTTCCTGCTTCTTAAAACCTTTTAAAAGCTTTTGTGTGGGGATTTTAAAATTATTTCAGCCACTTCCATCCTTTAGAACCACAGGGATTCCTTTCTCTTAGTCTTCTTTCTCCCCTTAATTGGCTGCTGAGCACCGAGCAAAAACAGTGCCACAGACCTTGTAGCTACTCAGAGTTGGTTGCATAGCCTTGGACCTCTCATTCTTAAAATTTCTACTTGCAAAATCCTTAGTTTTTAGCTACTTATTTGTTGCCTTTTCTCTGTATTTTTTAAAATCTTTGCCTCTCATCCTTTCTCCTGTGCTGAGCTGTGACATCTGCTGTGTGCACCTAGTGCTCACAGGAAGCTGTGCCCTGTTCTTTGTGTATGCTGGTCCACACCAAGTCATTCCCTTTTGCTTTCTAGGTACATATTTCCCGGGACAAGATCACCAAGCCAGGAGCCAAGCTATGGAAGAAAGGGGAAGGGCTCCCCAATTTTGACAATAACAATATCAAGGGCTCTTTGATAATCACTTTTGATGTGGATTTTCCAAAAGAGCAGTTAACAGAGGAAGCAAGAGAAGGTATGATGTATAATGAGTGTGTGTGTTTGTGGTGTGTGTATGTGTGCACGCACATGTGACGTATATGAGAGCAAAGAAGTGTCCAGTGATGTGAGATATCAGCTGTTGACAACAGCGTGACACAAGGTAGCAATGAACTTACCTTTCTCCACAAAGGCAATAGTAAAAATCCTACTGTTGCCGTGTGAAAAGGTTGTGTGAGCCAGACTTTAAAATTGAGGGCATGATGCATTGTATGGGAGTAAAACTAAATCACTCAGAGTGAGTAAGCTAAACCGAACAGTGAAGGGGAAGGTGAGATGTGCAGTAGCTGGATCCGAGGCTTACGAGTGCATGACTGTGATGACTGGTTGAAGAGGGCCCAGTTTTGAGCATTTAAATAATGAGAGGGCCTGGAATATAGCTCAGTGGCACTGTGCCTGCCTGGCAAGATCAAAGTCCTGAGTTCGGTCCCTGGTACCAGAAGAAAGAAAGAAAAGAAATAATAAGAGAAAGAAAAGTGTTGGAAGAGATTAAAAACTGCAAAGAGGACAAAGAAGAGGGAATGAAAGACTTCGCTGGAGAGTTTTCCTTCTTATTTCTTAGGGTGCCGTGGGATGTGTGGTGTAGGCCTGAGAGAAACAGATATGGGCTCGTGGATGCTCATGTGCACGCGGTGGGCACCGTGTGTGGTGACATTGGAGAGTGGCACTTGTTGGTTTCATTTGGATCTTTGGTTGTCATAGGCCTTTTTGAGCTTTCCCATGAAACTAGCTCTTTACACTGTAGAAAAGTCAGATTTTTGTTAATATCATCATTGTTCATTCTTCAGGTATCAAACAACTTCTGAAACAAGGATCAGTGCAGAAGGTGTACAATGGACTGCAAGGATATTAAGAGTGAATAAAATTGGACTTTGTTGAAAATAAGTGAATCAGCGATATTTATTATCAGCAGGGTTTTTTTGTGTTTGGTTTTGTTTTTATTTTCATATGCAAGTTTAATTTTTTTCCCAGTGGTCGTCATGATGTGTATAAAAGGGCTTAAGCATCTGTCCGTCTACATTCAGACAAGAATGACCAGGAAAATGGTTAACTAATAATACCTCTCCCTTTGGGGATATAATGTCTGGTGCTGCCACCTGCATTTCAAGAATTAAAGCTGCAAGAAGACTGTTAAGAACAAAAGAAACAATGTAAAGGGTTGGAGATAATTGTTAGTTACTTCACACAAAGCGCCAACTGGAGAAGTGTGTTTTTAAATACATCTTATTTTTTTTTCTTGACTCCTGTTTCTTTTCACCCCTGAGGGATTTGGGTTCTACTCTCTCCATCAAGCAAGACGCACTGACAAGCATCAGAGGAGTGGTGAGCAGCAGTTCCCTGACTGCCCCCTGAGACACGCGGCCTCCTCTAGCATAGAGCTTGAAGAAACTGACTAGATTAGAGAGCCAGGTACGAGAATCAAGATGATACAAAGATCTAATTGTCCTGGAGAAAGTCTCTTTTCTCGCATCTGAGAACAATAAAATCTGATATGGTTATTTTATTGTTGAGAAAGAAATTTCATGTATATGCTCATCTCATTTGACCTCATGATTAGAAAACCTTTGGTTTATATTGAGAACTAGGCACTGGATGTAGAAAATGAACTTAAAAAGTAGACTTGCAGATTACACTGGCTTCCGGTGGCATCCGATTTAGATGGCAGGGGACCGGAGTGCATTTGGCCTTTGATCTTCTCTCACTTTACCTTATGCAGTCACGTGACAACCCGGTGCTCATGTACTTTGGGCTTCTTGCCTCTGCTGGTCAATGTTTCAGTGCTTTTGACGCAGGGTGTGTGGAGCTGCCTTCCAGCCATCAGTGTAGCTCCTGTAGCAATCTTGCCGTTAGCTATACAGCAGCCCTTGCTCCTCCTCGAAGTCAAATGAAACCACATGAATATTTGTCCATGTTTAGTGGGCTTTCGGTACCTAAGTTTCGCTATGAGTTGAACTGAATTGCCTGTGTTGAGAGGCTCTTAGAAATGATCATCCACCTTTCCCCTTACATATCTTAGCGCAGGAGAGCACGTGGTCATTATTTGGACTTGCTTTTCATTATTTCCACTTTTCCAGCGTGTGTACAAGATCAGTCAGGATACTAAGAGCTAGGGTTACTAGCCTTGGCTAGAACGATCTCATGAGGGTAGTGCTCTTCCTGGGAATTATGTTAATGGGGTTTGGTCATTCTTTTGAGCCTATGATTTAACTAAATCATGGGATGGCCATGGTTTTAAGTTAAAAATAATCCTTTCGTCATCCGACTCTGAACTTCAAGGCTCTGTAAGTGCTTTATCTGAGGCACGTAGCAAAGATTTGTATTAGTGTTCCATAGGATTTCTTGTAATAAGCCGTAGTGACAGGTGATGGTGGGACTGATGGGAATCCTAAAACTCCACCCCCCGTTACTTTCCTAGAAGTTAGTGTGCTCCAGAGATGGGCTGGTGCTCCCTGAGGCAGCACAGCTCAAGTAGACCAAAGATAGGTTGCAGAAAGGGTTCCTAGGCCTTGGTTGGAGTCAGCATGTAGATTTCTTTCAAGCCAGAGGTTTTCAGGTATGTCTGAGAGTGCAAGTGAAGTAAAAATTTTCTCTTACTGAGTAAAAATATTTATGGAGTGCCTTACTGAGTGCTTGCTACAAGCTAGCTCCTGTTCCAAGCACTATATATAGATAAGCTCTGTTGTGTGGACGAGAGATTTTTCTTTCTACTATGTGTGGACAAGGGGTTGAGCTCCATGCTACAGCTTACAAGTGGCTTGACATGGATTTGAACCCAGGCAGCCTCCTCCAGCGAAGGATTCAATTGTGATGAATTCATATGGACAGAAACACCGTGGAAGGATGCCAGGTAGCGACAGGGGGAGAACAGGATATTTCTTTCTTGTTCTTGGGCTGCATTCACCATTGGTTCAGTTGCTGGATTTCTGACCAGAATGGGTGTTGGTGCTCAGAAATCACTGTGGAAGGAGAAAGGATGGGGGAACTAAAGCTGATTTCAAAGTTGGATTGGATGTTAGTAGAAATGGAAAGAGAATTTTATTCTGTTTCTTGAGAAAGATAAGCTGCTACTAAATCTCATAACAACTTCTAAACAAAAAGACATCCAAGAACTCGGGGAGATCAGAGAAGAAAAATGTGTCTGGTAACGGCTCGCATTTCTAGTCATTCAGTGGCTGAAACGGTCCCAACTCTCCTGATCAGGTTTGGATACAGGCAATGGGCACCAGTACAGCTTTCCTGGTATTTTCTGTGCCAAAGAACCCAGAGTCCTAAAAAAACAATTGAGTGGAATAACTTTAGGCACAGCCACTCTATTAATTCAGCCATCTAAAAATGACATAATTACGCAGGCATGTAGTGCACGCCTGTAATCCCAGCACTTGGGAGGCTGAAGCAGGAGGGTCACCGTGAGTTCAAGGCCAGCCTGGGACACATAGCAAAAAATAAAAAGAAGGAAGAAAAGACAGAGGGCAGTTTCCTTGCAGAGTGGAGCATTAGTGCCAACTTGTCCTGCATGGTCACCACAAGTGATTATTGAGAAATTGAAATCTGCAGGGCCAAATCGAAGGGTGCCATGAAGTGTAAAGTACATACTAGATTTTTGAAGGCTTGGCTTAAAAAATGTACAATAGTACATTTTCCTACTGATTACATGGTAAAATAGTGGCATTTAAGATTTATTTGGTAACATCAAGTATTTTATTAAAAATAAAAGCCAGGTGTGGTAGCAAATGCCTGTAATCCCAGTTATCAGGAAGGCTGAGGCAGGAGGATTGCAAGTTTGAGGTCAGCCTGGACAGCTTAGTGAGACCCTGTCTTAAAACAAAAAGGGTCAGGGATGTAGCTCATTGGTAGTACATCACCTAGCATGTGTCAAAGCCCTGGGTTTAATCCCTAGCCCTGCAGAGCCAGACAAATATGTGTACTAAAATTCCCCCAAGGTTTTTGTGGGTGTTTGAAACGTGGTTGCTGCGATGTTAAGTTACGTATGTGGTTTGTGTTATGCTGTCATTGACAGCACTGCTCCAGAGAGCCTCCCCCAGCTAGCAGGTCACTCCTCGGCTCGGAGGCAGGTGGCTGGTACTTTGGAAGGGCCCGACATTCACTCCTGTTCAGCTACCCCTTGTGTGAGCCAGCCCTGTGGGCCAGACTGCTAAGTGTTTGAGGTCCCTTCGGTTCCCTCACCCAGTATTTTGTCTATGCTCCTCCACTTAGAATCTGTAACTGCACTGGCTAAGACAGATTCCCATCCAAACGATAATGACAGTGCTGCCCAGGAATTGAAGCCAACTCATGGATTTTTTTCTGCTAAGATCCTCTTTTCAGGTTCACAGGCATGAGAACAGGGTAAGGTCCTATCAGCCTCTATGAAAATAACTATTTTGCTTCTAGCCATATTTCTCTGTCGTGTCCATAGGGGTGCGCTGAGAGGCCTCAGTGAAATCCAGTTATATAGCAGTCTGTTGGGAAATAAGGCAATTCGGACACTGCTTGTTCTTAGTGAGCCCAAGCTGGGTCCTAGGGATCGGCTGTTTCACAGCTAGGTGCTTAAAAATGGTGCCCGCCTTGGTGTCCCTACCTTGCCTCTGGGGAGACTGCCATCTCCGGTGTCAGCCCCTGTCTTCCAGTGCCTCAACATCACAGACATGCTTAGCAACTCCTGTGTCCTCTCAGCATTCTGAGATTGTGTCCAGTCCAGAAAACATGATTTTCTTCAGTGTTCGTGTGTTTCTTATCATCTATCAGGCCTTCCCTCTTGGTCTACCGTTTCCTCTTGCTAATGCCCATTCTACCCTTGATATTTCAAACGTCATTTCTTTTGACAGAATACAGAAGCAAAATGGGAAGTTTTTTGTCCACCATAGTGGTTAATATGTGTATGTTCTAGAATCACATTTATATTCGAATTATAGTTCTACCACTTACTGTACTTCCGTTTCTCCATCAATAAGGTGCTTAGCAACAGTACCTATTTAATAGAATCGTTGAATAATTAAAGATTTACAGCTGCAATACCTGTCTTGGGAAGGACAAGCAAAAGGAGCGAGTTAATATCTCTGTGTTATTGAGTTTCGGAAGGTTTATTTCCTCCCACTTGCAATAAACAATATTTATCTCCAGATGGCGCTAAAATGACAGCACGAGGGCTATAAAAGCAGCCCTGGGCCTTCTGATTTTTTGAAGTCATTTTCTGGTAATTGCTGCTAAATCAAGCTAGGAAGTAGATCACGTGGTGGTAATTTTCAACAAAAACTCAAATAATCTACCTTGACTGTCCCTCCTTAGAATCTCTTTTTCCTAAAAGGGAGATTAGACTCCACCTGGGCTGTGTTCTGATTTGGAGCTTAATTTTGTCAAAAATAAAATTAGGAAAACCAACTTAAAAAAAAAAAAAGGTGGCTCCTGAGAGTTAATAACAGTTGTGGAGACCACTGGGATGATAATTAGAAATAAATCATGGACTTGAACCTGCCTGGTCTTCAAGCTAGATCATTAAACAGGATGTGCGATGAATGAGGTTTCAAGCAAGGTGTTTGGAGATGGCCCTCGCTCCATCCCTGGGGACAAAATGGAGGCACCTGGTCGGATTCACGCCTCACTAATTGTGGTCAAACATGCTGTTGGTTAATGGATGGATTGGTGTCAGCCTGGAAGGGAGGTAGGTTCCGCTGGCACAATATTCTCAGTCCTGATCTGTTCAGTACTTTCTTTGGTGTTCAGTATCTCAGGAAAAGCCAAAGCACCATGTGCTTTCTATGTGTGCAAGTCACAGAGCTTCCACAACTAATATGCTTGTCAGTCCAGAAAGTTCTGGGAGAGAGGCGGGACATTCCTACGTGAGAGCCAACCAAGCAAACTCTGGAAGGATGTACTTCAAACTCTTGAAGGGTGTACAGGGAAACAACTGAACCTGGAGGGTAGAGTTTGGGTATACCAGATCCGTCCTCCGCATTCATTGGACAGCAGTGTTGACAAGTTGTCACTTGAATTGATGTCACCCAGCACAGTTGCAGGGGTCTTGTGCTAAATTTTGGGGGCAGAATAATTGTAACAAACTAGAGTTGGATGAATGAAAGTTCTAAGCATCAGAGCCACTGTAAGAAGCTATAAGCCCTCAACTCATGAGTTAAAGGCTTTGTGAGTTAACCCCTCTGCATTTTGTGTTTTGTGTGTTAAGGAATTTTGACATTGGTTGGAGTAGGGATCATTCCCTAACACTGCTCTGCAACTGCTATTGAAGAGAAACCAGAGTCTCACGGAAGCAAGGCGAGACCCTCATGATACCACAAAGATGGTGTCCCTGTCACGGTTGTGCAGTGGCTTACCACAGCAACACTTATTCTTTCTCACAAATCTGTAGTATGGACTGGGCTTGATGAAGGCACATTTTTGCTCTACTCATTGTCAGCTGGGCTTCAGAGGCTGGGGACTGGAATCATTTACCCTGGCTCATCTCACATGTCCAGCGGCTGATTCCCACTCACAGAGGTAGTTACAAAGGCCCTCCCATAATCTGGGGAAGGGAAATTAGACCTGACCTGACCAGAAGAAGAAAACCTTCAAGGTCCTGAAGGAGTATGTAGATCTGAAAATATTGCTGTGGCCTTTTTTGGGGGAAAAACAATTTTCCCCAAAATGGGGTGACCAGATAAGTATCAGCAGCTGAGACCATGGGACATCAAAACAGCAATGAAGGAGCCATACGGTGCTCACAGAGGGTTACGGAAGACTGGAAACTCAGCAGCGAGCACCAACCCCTGAGAGGCATTGACATGGAGGGGTGGTGCTGATGAACATTCTGCCAGATACAGCCGTGTATGGAAACGTAGACCAACTGCTTCTGGATTCAAGTCTATTACAGGATCATTTTGCTTCCCCTTTTTTATTGAAACCCAGGCCTATGAGTCCCTGCCTTTCTTTCTGCCCCGGGCATGAACTTTTAGTACTCTTGCCAGCAGGTGAAAAAGCCCCTGGTCTTACATATAGAGAGGATGTGGCCAAAGTTACATTAAGGAAAATAATGCGATTAAGCTGAGGGCTTTAAAGTGTTAATTTGGTATAAAAGATGTCTAGAAGGAATTGTAAATTTTCTTGATGGGGAATACAAGATCAAAACAGTGTATGCTATTGATTCATTCAGAAGTTGTTAAGTAGCTACTGTGTGTGCACAAACTTCAGGAGGCACTGGGGAGCCAAGGGTGCCAGCACCAGTCCCTGCATAGAATGGCCCAGCCTGTGCAGGGAGGGGTGAAGGCTTTGGGCTCCACCCTACCCTCTGCAACTGGTCCCAGAGCTCAGACCACTTTCTGACACTCAACTCTACCTGACAAGGCCATCCCGACCCATTGTTGGCTGAACGTGGCTCTGGCTCATGGGGAGACTCTTCCTAATGGCATGCTGAGCCCCTTTCTCTGCTCAGTGACTTTCTCCATCCTCCCTGTCTTAGTTACTTTTCTCTTGTTGCTGAGGCAAAACAGCCAACCCTCAAAGCTAGATTTATTTAGTTCACAGTTTGTAAAAGTTTCAGTCCCTAATCAGCTGGTTCCAAGGCAGGATGGCAAGGCAGATAAGCATTGCAGAGGAGAAACAGTTCATGGTGGGCGGAAGGTAGCAAATCAAGCAAGAGGGACGACCCTAGCTCTTTCTATCCCTTATATCTTATCCAGCCTAGTTAGGGTGCACAGCACTCACACCCTTAATCCTAGTGCCCTTGATCCTAGCACTGCACCATGAATCAATCCCAGTGTCACACACTCTAGATCCAGCCACCTCTGAAAAAGCCCTACCTGTGACTGCATGAGGCTCTGGGGGTGGGGTGGGGGGACATCTAGACACAGCCTTAACATCCCCTAACTCCTTCACACACATTCTTGAAGAGTGTCCTTGTCACCTCTGCAGGTCTGATCCAGAGCTAGATACTGGCCACAGACATTCACAACACCAAAAATAGTCCCTGTACTGGCTGGGCATCAGGCAAGTGGCTGCTGCAAGCACAACCTATGAGCCCTGAAAGATGACCTTTTCCTTGGTTTATTTAATGCATAAGCTTCAAGTTACATTTATTCAAATAATTAAAATCCCTTCACTGAGGAAAGCTCTTGGTATGGTACCCCTTCATACACACAAATAATAAGACAGAAAGATGGGGGGAGAGAGAGAGGAGAGCCACCATTGAAAGAAAGAACCACCATTGTAGTCCCATTTCCAGAGCGATCCCTGGCTGTACCCTGAAACAGTCTGACCCGTAAGTGATGTGTGTGCATATATGAGAGAGGAAGATGGCCTCCTCCCTGGGTTGGTGGCTTATTGATGCTGGTGGGTTAAAACTTCTTCTCAGAAGTGGCGCTCATAGTGACCTGGTGGGGCAAGACGGAAGGACAGCTGACGTTGGGAAGTGACACTCACCTGGCACTTCATGTTATACTTGGAGAACACCAATCATTCATGGTAAGGGAAGGGCGTGCTGATGGAAATTAAGGGGCCTAAGTCCTGTCCCTACTCTCCCCAGGTCCTCCTGTACCCCCGTCCCCCCATTGGGGTTGTCTGGTCAATAGCTTCTCCCTGGACTTACGATTGAACCGTGGACAAAGGACACATGGATATCAAGGTGACTTTGGACTTTCCATTGCATCACCGAGTGCATCAACCTCCAACTGTTAGTTTTGGATTTCCTACAAAGAGACCATGCTGACACCCACTCTCTACGGTGCTTCATTACACGAGGTCTGTTCGCTTAAACTGTCCTTGGTGGACCATTTCCTTTCCCGACTCATCCATGATACTACGAAATTTCTTTTGGTTAAATGTCATATTCCCTGTTTATGACTCAAGCTGTATACTAGCTATTTATAGTGAGGGGACATGGTTTTCAAAGAGAGACCAAGTGACATAGGGATGAGGAGAGCACCTCACCCTTTTTCAGGGTCCCTGGGCAGCCTGTCCCTGGGCATCGCTGCTCCCTGGCATCACTGCCTGATCTTCAACACAGCTGCCTATCCCTGACCGTGCCTGTCCTGGGGCTTCACTTTCTTCTGTAAAGAACTGCTGCCCAACCCTGGATCCTGTCACCTGCTCCAGGAACCTGCTGCTTACCCAGGATCCCACTGCTTAACCTGATCCTGCTGCTTACCCAGGATTCTGCTGTTTACTGAGGATCCCACTGCCACCCCTCTGTACACTGCCTGCTTTGGGGCTGCTGTCTGACCCTGGTCCTCACTTTCTCCCCAGAACACTGCTTCCTGCAACTAGAGAATGATGGCTACCACAATGTCACTCCCTGCCCCTGGGCTCTGCTGTTTGCCGCTGGAGGTCACTTTCTTCAGCAGGGCACTCAAACCTGCCTCTGGGCACTGCTGCCCGACTCTAGACTCATTGCCTGCCCCTAGAAACCCTTGTCTGTTCCTGGGCATCATCTTTTTAAGGCACTGCTACCTGCCTTTGGACGCTGCTGTCCACCTTGGACACGCCTGCCTGGCCCCAGACACCTCGCTTTTCTTCAAGCCACCATTACCTCTGGACAATGTCTCCCGCCTATGGACACCACTGCCAGCCCCTGGACACCACTTCCTTCTTCGGGGCACTGTTCCTGCTGCATGGCCAACACCATCTGCCCCTGGTCCCTGCTGCCTGCCGTGGACATGGCTGCCTGTCGCTGGGCACTGCTGGCACCACCCTAGCCGACCTTTCCTTTTCCTGCTCCTGTCCTGTGCAACCATCAAGGCGGAGACACCCGAGCTTTTGGGGGACAGCACCTCTTCGGTTCTTACTATAAGAGAACTCAGACGTTGCGCCAGGAGACAAATCCAAGCGACCGACGCTGTGCTTTTCCAGTTGATCCAGAGGCTCCAGCCCCAGCCCCCATGCCCAGGAGATGGGCTCTGCCCCCAGAGGTCCCCTACCCACCTGTCCCCAAATCAGACGCCACAGGGCCAAGAGGGAGTCCAAGCCCCTGGGGCTGCACGAAACATAGCTTTCTATGCCGCTCTGTCCTGTTGAGTTAGGAGGGAGAGTTCAAGCTGGTAGAAACTGCAGGACAGAAGCAAGCAAAGGGCTGTTGCTTAAGGGACAGGTTAATATTTGTGTAAATCAGGTGGACACACAACAAACCGTATATTGGCCTGTTCTTTACAACACCCTCCATCACTTTGAACATGGTATCTGCGTCATATTCATAGAAATAATATTTAAATGCGAAGTTCAGGATAGGAAGGCTGGGGTGGAAAATATGAGAGTTTTAAAAGAACAAATATGGCGTTTTCATTTTGTTTTCCATCTCATTGGAGTCGTCGCGGTCTGACTGTAGGTACATTTGTGTGAGGACTTCTCTCAGTCAGAAGTGGGGCTGTGGCAGTGTGGGCAGAAGATACAGACCCTGGTCAGAATTCTACTTCTGCCCCTTGCCCGCGGTACAAAGGTGATGCAGAAGTTGTGATATAAGGAACACGGAGGGAGCGAGTTAGGTGATAAGGATTCTCGGCTGAAGTTTTTCTTGGTCTGTGTTTGCTGTTATTTGACCTACTTCTAAGTTTTTCATTTTTTATTTCAGTAGCCATATTTTCAGCTAAGAATGTCTGCTTTTGTTCGGATCCACCCTTCCCATCCTCCTGGCTTTGGGATTGGATACCATGCTTACTATATGAATTGGGCAGACACCAGTGGATGGCACTTACCGAGGACCAAGAAAGACCCTGAGGAAAAGGCTACTCTAGAAAGTGCAGCAGAACATGGCACTGCCCTGACAGCCCAGACCCGAGCAGCTCAGCAAGCGTGCCAAGTTCACAGGATTCTCACAGTTCATTCCCTAAGCGTAGTCCGTACTTGTTCACCTCTTAACTTTGCCAACGTAGTTCTTCCAACGGGACAGTTTTTATTTTCACTTGTAGAAATCCTGCCCATCTCCTTCAGGGTAGAGTCCAAAGTGCCCTCTTGTCCTGGTTTCCTCTCCCCTGCCTGCCCACAGCTGACCTTGGGTCTCCCCATCTCCCGTGGGTTCCTGTAGCACCTGGGTCCTCTTATGCCCTACCTGAGGTTAACAGGATCAGCTATATGACTCTTGTGGGCCTGTGCAAAACAGAAACCTAGCTCCCCTAGTTAAAAAGAATTAGTAAGAATTTCAGGTCGGGGGATTTAGCTCAGTGGTGCCGCTACCTTCCTTGCAAGCACAAGGTCCTGAGTTCAATCCTTGGTGCCAAACAAACAAAAAAAGAAATTCAAGACAGTGGTAGCAGAGTATTCCAGGGAGCAAAGGCTCTTCTAGGTGTGTCCTGTGTGGGATGCATTCCTGAAAAGCCAGCCTCCATGACTGCACTCCACTCATAGGCTCCAAGGGGAAACAGAGTCCCACTAAGCAAGCATGGTCTCTGAAATGCCTGTTCAAATCTCCTCCCCGGAAGCTCCTGAACTTCTCTCCTCCCCTTCCTGAACCTGGTTCCAGGGCTCCAATGTCTGGCTTTCTAGCATACTGGAGACTCCGCATCCTGAGCCCCCACCAGCCATTCTGACCTATGCTTACAGCCCTCAGCCTTGAGCCCTGTCTTATTTCCTGGGATTAGCCATACAAGCAACACAGAAAGATCTATTGTTTTTCTTTTTTTTCCCCCAAGAATACTACTCTCTCCTTTTCTCCATCTGGTTCCTCTGGTTGCCAGAAGTCGCTAGCACACAGCCTTGTCTTTGATGCAGCATTGGTTCGAAGAGATGGGCGTACAAGCATTTTACCTGTCACATTTCTTCTAAGTAAGTGGTAACATAGCTGCTCATCAGATGAATGTCACGCGTACCACCATATTTAACGCACTTGATAATCCTTTGAAGTATGTGCTACTACTGCTATTCCCTTTACAGGTGAGTAAAATGAGACACAGAGGGGTAAGTATTTTGCCCAAGGTAATAAAGCCAAGGTGCCCTTCCCTTAACTATTAGGCTATATTGCTTCTATATGCAGGCTACATGAAGGCAAAGGCTGTGTTTAGTCTGTGGCATTCTTTGTGCTCTCAGTATGAATGTGTAATTAGGGGTATAAAAACTCCCCTTTATTGGTAGCTTACCCTTTGCCAGGCCTTCATTAGATCCTCAGCCAAGTTTTACTGCCCCTATTTAACAGGCGAGGAAACTAAGGTTAGCAAGATTTAACCTCTCGTTGCATCACATCACTGGTAAGCAGTGGCCCCAGGGTTTGGACTTGGGTCTATCCTGATTCCACATGTAGGGCTCAGTCAAGCTGCTCCCACACCCTGCCTCCTGCCCATCTGGCCCCTCTCCATCTTATTCACCTTCCTGCTGGACCCATCCTCCCACTGCCTCAGTCTCTACCACAATCTGAGTCCTGGAGGCTCAGTCTGTTTTGTAACCCACTAAACGAGTAGCTTACTGTTGCACAATTGCAGTGCAGACCAAGGAAATTGCCCACGTTCCCTGCCCTGGCCCTGTGATCTGCACCCTCTCCATTTCAAGTTGTCATCTTCTAGTGTCCTGTCTTCCAGTGTTCGAGCAAGAACACCTGAAACAGATTCCTGCCCTCTTAAGATGTATTCAAGAGACCAGACAACAAAAAGTACAGAAACACCGCCAGGTGAGAGCTTTTCCAGGTTCAAGATGAGCAGGAGCCTCACCCCCTCCTTCAGGTCTTCCCTGAGTGCCTACATCTGTCCCTCACCACATTCAAGATGCCTAATCAAGACACTCCATGGAGAAGAATGGCCTATGTGTTGGTTCTTTTGTTAATCCTTTTGAGGGCCCAAATAAGCCTCTAGAAACAAGAAGAAATCTCCTGTTCTGTCAGTGACAGTATGCTCACTGCCATCCCATAACTGTCCACTTGTATGCACACGTGCGTGCACAAGTCCACACACACCCAGATAGCTACCGAACTAATTTGACTCCTAATCACAAGGTGACTTATCTTACTGCTTAACCACTGGTGCCAGTCTTGCCTCTCCAATATATGATGACGAGGTGGTCTCAAAACAAATTCACCTGAGTGGTGACTGAAGGAACAGGGATAATGAAGGCCAGAGGAGGGAATCAGGATTCAGCTGGGATGTTTCCAGCCTAGAGGCATTTAGTCTGTGCAGTTGATTTCATCAGCGTAGCTCCTAAGGGCCGTGGCGAGGTTACAAGGAAGGCAGGTGTGGAAGGAAAGGTCTCTAGGAGCAGGAAAGGTTCAACAATTGAATGGGCTGCCGAGTGGAAGGGGTTCCTGAATGTGAACGTTCTCAAGTAGACACCAGCCACTGGCGAGATCTACGTCGTGTGGGAGGCTGCTGTAAAGAACCTCACTTAATGATGATGTACAGGGCTCACGCTGTGATGGGCAGGAGGCAAGGTGTTCCTCTGGATTTAATGTGGGTGGAAGGTGGGAACCACAGCTCACACTCCTCCTGGGTGTGCAGAGCAGCTGCCGTGATGCAGTGGGGTCAGGCCCAGTGGTGAACACCTGGAAGATGAGTTTTACACCTTTCCTTAAAGCCTAGCACAGTGTAAGTGTCCAAGAAATAGTTTTGAAGTTAATGAGTGTGCTTTAATGAGAATACTTTAAGAATGGATCAGGGCAATTTTAAATATCAAGTTACTGTTGAAAGGACCCATTCCAACTCCAATAATCTGCATGTTGGATAAAGAAGCACCTGATTTTAAAAAGATATAGTGAGTGACTGGACTCCAGTGGCCTCAGGATAAGCTTCGCAGGTAAGGGTATGGCTCTGCTGAAAAATATTTGTGTCCAGTGCCCAGTGAGCACACCGTGCAGCTCATTGGAAGGTAGTTTGCCTCCCAGCTTCTTTCTGTCTAGAGAGTCACTCACTCAGCTTGCTCTGAAGATTATCAGAAGCTAATGACAGAAACCAGCAGGATGGATTCTCTGCAGTGCCTAGCATTTCCCTGAAAAACATCTAACTAAAAGTAGAGTAATCATTTACCTTTTATTTATCTTACAAACCTGCAGTGGAGATAACTTTAGTGCCTTCTGAGTTACCGCTAAAGTCAACAGGCTTTTTTTTTTTTTCCAGAAAAATTGATTTCCAAGTATTTTTCTGCTGGCCAATATTGTGTGGGTGAACTCTTTCACTTAGCCAAACTCAGTCTATTTTTCTACTCTTTTAACTTTTTTTTTCAAGCAACCATGTTTCCCACTGTTAAGAATTATGATGTGCTGGCTTTTAAGTAGTGTCCAGAAGCAGCCTCCCTAGCTTTTTTTTGCAGGGGGGCATATTCTTTTGGTTTGAGGTTAGTGGAGAAAAATGATGAGGCAAAATGTATGAGTACGAGTAGAGGTGTGGTGAGGTTCTAGGACCTCTCTGAGTCTCTACTGCCTCATCCGGAAAGGAGGGAAGCTGAAAATAGTGTGGCTCTCATGCCTTTCACTGCCAAAGATAATAACATTTGCCATGACGAGGTTGGCTTCCTAAGAAGGTGCTATTCTAGTGCTAGAAAATCTCTCTGTTGCTTTGACTTTAAAGTGATTCTTTTTTGTGAGACAGACCATTGGAGTGGGTGTCAAGGCCACACCAAACAGCATATTGTAGAAAAGTTTTCTCCAAACAAAAGAGAATAGAAGATTTCCCATCCTTTCTTATGCGCTAGCATAAGCCAACTGAAAGGATCTCAGTGTTCTTGGGGTCAGTTTCATGCATGGTCTCACCAGCGTAGGTGATGACAACAAAAACTTCTCTTGAAGGAGAAAGATTTGATGAAGTCCAACTTTTTTTTTTTAATCCATTGTGGGTTTACATGATGCCTCTTCCTCAAGGCCAGGATGAGGGTGTGGCAAGCAAGTGAGCCACCTAGCACACAAAAATTTAAGAAGGAGCAACTCCAAGAGAGTGCACCTTCACCCCTTCTTTGAGCCACTGTAACCTGGCCCTGCCATTCCCCTCATCTGCCCTCAAATGCAGCTTCCTTGTAGGGATTATTTTGCAGTGGCAGGTTGGGCGATGGGGGCAAGGTTAGGGAATGGAGTGCAGAGCTCTAGCTCTACTCCAAAACAGGAAGCGGTCAGCTCTGGCCACTGATTTAATTGTTTTTGTCTGTCTGTGGTCAAGCCCATGTCTTGCATCCGTGTTGCATGGCACTGAGCACAAATGGCTCTTCCAGATCACTGGGTCATGACCTCCTAGTTAATTGGCACTAAGTTACCTTCCTAAGAAACCTATTGGCTCCCTAGTCAAGGGTCATCTACATTCCACAATGGAGATTTTATATTGGAGAAATAATGCTCAGTCTGTCTCCACAGGACATTATGATCATTTGTAAAATAATGCTACAATCATTGTGTACAGTTTAACTTTTAATTTCTCAGTAATGAAATGTTTTTGGGCCAAATGAGTTGAGCCAAGGGCCTTTGGGGAAGATTTTATCTTCTTGTCACTCTGTCCAGGCTCCTGATTTCAGAGAAAAAAGGTGCTCAATAAACATTTGTTCATTGTACCTACGAATGAAGAAATACCAGGCTTATCAGAAATTGATTATCAGCCTTCTTAGGGCCTAGGCCCTTTAAGAATCAAAAAGGGCAGAGCCCCTGCCTTAGACCAACCACTGCTGTTTCCTCTCTGGGGAAACCAATCATTCCCTGGTTTTCACTCACATGCACATGTTCATGTTCTGTTTGTGAGATGCTGAGTTTCTAGGTCTCACCTTTCATGCTGGCTCTCTACTTGACCTTCTAGCTCTATCCTTCGTCTCTTAGATTCACATCCACTGGCAGGGCCATTGATGGAACCGACCTTGAAAAATGCTGATCCTGAGTTTACGGCGATCCCTCTTGACCTGGCTCCTGACTGGCAACTATCAGAGCTGAACTCTGCCTTTCAAAAGTTCAAATGCATTGTCTGTTCCCTGGTAAAGAACACTTTGACAAACTGAGATTGTGGTGCCATTCTCAGTGGCCACCTTGAGGTGCCTGGCATGAGTGGCACTGCCTGGCACCCTGATGCCATCTCCTGGAGATTGTGGATCTTCTTCTGTCCCTAAGACCTTTGAGGCTGCTTCTCTCAACCAAGTTTATATCCATATTGTAGTCAGTGTGAATGGAAAGAGCATTGCTGTTATATTTGGTGATGTGAGTCTCATAGAAAAAAAAATGCACCCATGTGTAATCAATGATGAAGCAAATAATCTGAAAATGAAATGCAAGCCTATCTGCCATTGCATTCAAAGAAGCTGGAGTCAGTTGGATGAAAGTGACCAGCATCATGCACAAGTGTGTGCATTTGGCATGAGGAAATCTCTTGAAGTTTGAAATTGGTATACTCAGGCCCAGTGAAATATCAGTAATCTTCCTTTGTCACCAATGTTACAGCTGTCTTGGAAGACCTCAAAGTATCACACGTTTTCTCTTCATTGTCAGTAAATGGCGACATTTTTTTCTAAGGAAACTGAAAAAACCCTAAATAAAGGATCATTTTATTTAGCCCGTTACTAAAGCTATTTTAGTTTGTGTATTGCATAAATGGAGTAGTTGAGATAAAACCACAGGCATTCATAAAATACACTGAGAAGAGTTTTGATGATTTTTAAATATCTAAGTTCCTACAAAAGTCAGCTTGGGAACAACAGTGGAGGAAGAAAGGTAACTGTCGCGAGCTGCGACGTCAGGATCCTGCCAGCAGGTCCTAAACCTGAAAGGACGAGGACAGAGAGACGGGAGGCACTTTTCTTCTCATGGTCCTTGCTTGCTTGCTTTTTTACAGAACCTCTTGCTTTTATACTCTCCAGCTGCATGGGAGCTAGGGCTGCACGGGAGCGAGGGCTGCAAGGGAGCGAGAGTACCGCCCACACATTCCAGAGGGAAACAACAACAACCATTATGGGTTACATCTGCTACCAGCTGAACTCGCCCGTGGCTATGGGCGAGAGCACATCCGTGCCAGCGAGGTGGCTCAAAGTTCAGTCATGGCTAGGCCTGTGTCAAGGCTCACCGTAATGGCTCGCCATAGGTAACAGCAGAGCTGACACAGCACATTAGTCAAAGGCAGGGGATTGGCCTACACTTTCTCATAGTTGATTTGACACAGAAACCAAGAGCTTTATAAAGGTCCCAACAATTTGAGTCAAAGAAGTGTCCATGCAGTGTGATCCATATTATATTAAAATAATGTTTTTTTACAGAAAAAAGGCTGGGGTATCAACTGGAGCTTAAGCAGCTGTGCGTGAATGTCAAAGACAATGACCGAGAACAGATAAAGAGGGCAGACATCCAGGACTGTATTTCACACAGCCAGCCAAAAAAGCTGTACATCCCGAAACAATGCAAAAGCAGTTACTACTAACCTCGAGAAGGTAAACATTGTGAATGATGAAAAGGTTCACAGAGTGAACAATGCTTTTGTAAACATTCAGAAGGAATTTGCACACTTTTCAAAAAGGCTCATTCTTCAACCTCTGCAGAGAGAGCTCATTACTCAGCAGCATCATGAAAACCAGCCAGTTAATGTTGACGAAGCTGCAAGATTAATGGCTCAATTGTAATCCTCCCAACTCAATAAAATAAGTATTTTATACAACTTAGAAAAAATGGAAATGCACCAAAATTAACACCATTTATTTCTGCATGATAAGATGGTGGTTGATTTTGGTGTTTCTGTTTATAAATGGTAGAACGGTAGGTGAGGTATTCGTCGGTCTTTACTACGTTTCTTACTTTTGTAGCATTAGCAAAACACCTAATCAGCTAAACACCTACCATCACCCGAAGTATCCAAGTCTTTAGAACTTATCACTAGTGGAAGATCAGATACCAGAAGAAATGGCTCAAGACAGAAATGATCTGAGAAGAGTTATGATCAGAGAGACTTTTATCTTTCTTGCCTCCTGAGGTTGGAATGGCAACCCGGGACAAACACAGGAATCCCAGCATGGAGGAAGACCCTGAGTAATAGGCTGGCACCAAGGCCACATGGAGACCATGAATGTAGCGAGTGTCCCCAACAAAAGGCAGCTTTGTGGGGCCCTACACCCTTGTGTAGGCACTGCAGAAAAGAGTGGCACCTTGCTGAGAGAAAGCTTGTAGTGTAGAAAAGGTCTCGTAGCTGGAATGGAATAGAACTCTGATCTGGGGACATGGGGAGAGCTAACTTACTATGCACTGAGGGGGTGGGGACAAGCCAGACACTGGCTCACAGGTGGAACCATAGGTAGCTAAGTGTATGCCTGAGGCCCAGGTGAGGCAGGTTACCTGGAGGAAGACACCAACACAGGCCCTTGTAGTACAAAGCAAAGGAGGACACCCCTTTCTGCCTTTAGCGCCATTTACATAAGTGCCCAGGCTTCTTTGTAACGTCAGTACGGGATGAAGGGGAGGGGTGAGCAATTGTAACACACAGCTTCAATCCAGGTGTCTGGAAAATCAGGTTGCCCGAAGTGACTAGGTTACATTTTCACAGAGGGGGCCCAGTGTCAGAAATTCAGTTGAGCTCGGCAAAAGACGGTTATACTTTATCTACTTGTGCTCGTGAGTTATGAGATGTAAGCTCAGAGAACATTTTTCAAAGTTCTCAAATATTTAGTAATGACCACGTTTACCATACTTTTAAGATTATTTTAAAGAAAAGCATAGCCTGCACAAAAAGTTAATGCGTGAGGCCCTTGAATTAAATAGGAATGTGGTGGGTGGGGAGTTGGCTTTGAGAGATGACTGGAGCCTGTTCTTTCTCTCTAGGAGCCACGAGCCCCTGCCCATGAGGACCTGGAGCCTGACCACATTCTGCCATTGAGAGTCTGTGTGTGCCATTGGGAATAAATGTGAAAATTCCCTTATAGCCACTTGTGTGCCTCGTCACTGCCTCTCACCTCCCCCGCCCCCTGTACCCTGGAAATCAACATTATTTAACTTCTCTTTAGAAGGCCCTTTCTTTTCTACCCCTCCTCCTTCTTTCTCTTCTCCTTCTTCCCCTTCTCCTTTTTTTTTATTTTGAACCAATTTTATTCTCCTGAAGCAATATCAAAGCACAGAACAAATCCACCTGTTACAAGGACACCCTCTAACAATCTGATGAACATGTTGGTTTCCATGTTAGGGTTGCTTTGTTCCAGGCTAAGCCAAATCATTGCGTGATATTTCTTCAGCCCCCTCCTGCCTGCTCACCCTCCTTGGAGATTATGCCCGGACTGGTCCAGGGCTAGTGAAAGGGTGCTGTCTGGAGAGGACACCAGGGTCCTGTGATCCAGTCACACAGACAGGCTGTCATTCTGCAGAGGCTAAGAACTGTGCTCTTAGCTGGCCCTGCCATTTCTCAGTGTGCAGATCTAAACCCAGAGCTTTGTTAAATGAGTGCCTGGTGGGCTGGGTCTCCCCTTGAGGGGAGCTGGAGGTGACTGGTGCCAATGACATCCAACCACCAGGAGACCCAGGTCTGCCTGTCCACACTGTCACTTGTGGGGCTCAGCAGTGAGTTCTGGGGGAAAGGAGGATGAGGGGATCAGGGCCCCTGCAGGGTGTTACTGCATTCCTCCCTGCCGCAGGAGCCCCTCCCTTTCACCTTTGCCACAGAAACATCTCCCTTTCTTCTTTCCTTCAAAGGGGCTCCAAGACCTTGTCCTGTCCCATAGCCCATTGTACCTGTGCTGTCTCCATGGGCTTCGCTCTCCCTCTAGGACCCTTGTGGAAGAGATATGGCCCCCCGGATCGAGGATTGGGTCACATTTCTGAGTGCTCCCTGCACCCCTACACCTCACGCACGTCCAGTTCCTGTGCTGCCAGCCCCTGCACAGTGCAAAGCTGGTTGCTTTCACTGCCTCATCCCCTCAGACACCTCCTCTCTCTCTGCTGTCGCCCTGGTCCAAACAGACTTTGGAGCAACTCCCCGCAACAGAATTGACTTTGCCAGATTTCTTGGGGACCGCGGATGGCCCAACTTGTTTGCTTTTCCAGGGCTGATGTTTGCAGGGGTTATTTGCAACCAGAATGAAATCCTCCCACATCCTTGTGCAATTCCTTCAGCACGCTCCAACAGATAAATAAAGCCCTCCACTGCTCTGTCTGTCTAGCTTTCCAGGCAGGGTACCTGGGTTGGTCCAGAGACTCTCCAGGGCAGCCATGAAGTCCTTTGTTTTGCTCCTTTGCCTTGTTCAGCTCTGGAGCTGCCACTCAGTCCCTGTTGGCTCAGGGCCGGGTTACAGGGAACCAGCTTGTGATGACTTGGAAACAGAGCAGGCAGCCCTGGCAGCTGTGGACTATATCAATCAGAACCTTCGTCATGGATACAAGCACACCTTGAACCAAATTGACAAAGTCAGGGTGTGGCAGCGGGTGAGTGAATTCGTGTGAATGAGATGAAAGGGCCCACGTGTGCAGCCCAAGCCAGTGCCTCGAAAGTCCAACATCTCCCAGCACAGATGAAAGTGCAGTGGGGAAACTTAGTCCTTCCCATGAGTGGAGGAAGGGGCAGGGGCATGGCAAGAAGGGAGGCACTTGGTTTGGCAGTCATGGATCTTAAGGAGAGGTTTCAGTGGGATGCGCGGCAGTGGGGAGGAGAAGAAGATACTTCCAAGGATATTTTGCAGATCAGAGATGGAAAGCATGGCTTTCTGAGAAAACCAGGGCCCAAGAGACCGGCTCCTATTGGCCAAGTTATCTTTGTCTACAAATCATTTACCTTTCTTGGCTTCTGTCTCTGACAGAAAGTGGAGACTAGCATTTGACAAATGCTTACCGTGCATCGGGCTCTTTCACACAGCTCAGCTCACGGTCCTGGGTGGTCACTACACTCTCCTGTCCTTTTACCTAAGAAGGCACCAAGACGCTGATGTGTTGCCATTATTTGCTCTTGATCATAGTGAGCACTGGGGCCTGGATTTTATTCCAGAACTGGGCTCCTTCCTCTTTCCAAGCTGCCTCCCAAAACAAGTTCCTCATATTTCAGAGAGAAATCTTAGCATAGATGGGATTTATTTCCCGGTGCTAGACAAGGAAGCAGTGCGGGCTGAGGCCAGTGACTATAAGAAGAAACTCAGAAAACACATTTGGGAGATCAGTCGAGAAATTTGGCAGGGTGGGAAAAAGAGCACTTGCTGACTATCTGCTTTGGAATTAGATTTGATAACTGCTTAAGGATAATATTTCAGCAAATAATTATCTCAAGCTTCCTTGGGCAAAAGCTAGTATCAGGTGCTATGGGAGATATTAGTTCGAGCCATTAAAATTGCCAATATTTAGCTGCATTTGACATACAAAAATGGCAATTTTATATCCATAGGCCAGAAAGACGGCTTGTGCCCCAAAGGGATCTGCAATATAAGAGGGAAAAGAAGGTATACATTAGGATATCAGGGCTGATGGAGGATGCCTGATCTCACAAAGGGACAAACCATTTGAAGCCAGGATTGTCCAGGGAATTTTAAGAGTGCCACAGTCATACAGAAGTAATACCAGCGGTTCAGAGGAACCGCTCACCAATTCAGGGGAAATAAACATGCAGCACGCATATGCGAGTGAAAGAGCAATGTGTGGGCATCGCGAGGAGCTCAGATGTGCCTGGCTCCTGGTCACTGCAGCTGAGTCCTTCCCGGAAGTTAATTTGAAGCTCCTCTTTCAGGGCCTTCAGTCCCTGGAGTCAGGCAGAACTGAAATGAGAGACAAACAGAGACAGGCTGAGATTTTTCCAGGCTTTGTGGATTTTCCAGGCTTTAAGGAAAGGCTGCTTAAACAGGTGAACAGACAAGAATAAGTTCAGAGTGTTATGCAAGCGTCCTAAGGGCATCTGCCTTAGTGGTACAGCAGAACGGGTCTTCCCACTGGTCGCCAGCAGGGGACAGTAGAAAGCAGCTTCTGTGAGCCCAGGTATGGAAAAGCCAAAGGGCAAAAGGAAAAGCCAAGGATCACAGCAACAAAGAAACTTTAAGAAGGAAAAGACACTGGGAGAAAGTAGGCCACGAGAGGGAAGTAAGAAGGAACCAGAGGGAGAGGTAGAGTAGATAAAGAAAAGTCAATACGCTATCATTCTATACCACACGACTTCGCAGTTTGACTAAGGAAACCCAAAACTGATTTTCTCAAAACACTGCTTGAAGAGCGACATTTTAAAAATTTAAAAATACGTATCGACACTCATTTCCAAGTTTCCAAAGAGTTCAGAGTGAGGACCGTGGCTCCATCCCTTGCCTAAGCCCACCGCCCTTCCTTCCTCCCTCCCTCACCCCCTTTCTTCCTCGAAGCACTTTTAGCACATTCCCAGTAGACAGAGAAAGACCGGGGAAGCCACGATCCCTGGTGATCCTGGCCGCCGGCCGGCTCGGAGCTGGACAGTTAAGGCTGAGGCACAGGCGGATCGGTGGGGGGAGCTGCTCATCAACGAGTTCTGTCTCCACAGCGGCCCTTCGGGGAGGTGTACCACCTTGAATTGGACACGCTGGAGACCCAGTGCTACGCCAGGGACCCCACACCCTTGGCGAACTGTTCCGTGAGACAGGTGTTCGAACACGTGAGTGCCGGGTGGCCGGTTCCTCCGGGGGGCAGCAAAGAGCAGAAAAATCTTGCGCACGTCACATAGCTTCGCATCCTGCTTTCTTGGCTAGGCTTCTCTTTCGTGCATTTTTTGAAATTGCTGCTGGACGGCGCCTTCCGTGGGTTGTCTCCCTCCGCATTCCCCCAGGTTGAACACAGGGCTTCATGTATGCTCGGCTAGCGATCTACCACAGAGCCACATTCCCAGCCCTTTTGAAATTTTGTTTTGTCTTGTTTTTATTTTGAGACAGGGTCTTGCTAGAGTGCCCGTGCTGGTCTCGAATTTGAGATCCTCCGGCCTCAGCCTCCGTAGTAGCTGGAATTGCAGGCTTGCGCCACCATGCCTAGCCCTGGCGTTGATTTTTTTTATTTTATTTTATTTTTTTTTACTATAGCTCTTGTAGTCTTTCCTGCCCCATGGAGGTGCTTTCATGAGGGTCACCTGTGACAGCCCGCATGTAGGGTCGGTGGGCTTGGGCTCCGGGCTTCACTGTGCCTTTGTTTCTCCAGGCGGTGGAGGGAGACTGTGAAATGCAAGTGCTCAAACAGGACGGCCAGTTTTCCGTGTTGTTTGCAAAATGCCATTCCACTCCAGGTACAGACGATCTATGGTTTTCTTATTCTTCGTGCCCTTGTAGACACCCTGGGGAGGGAATCCGAATAGTTCTGAGCCTACGGACTGAAGAGTTCTAGTGACTTAGTCAGTGAAGACAAGGAGAAGCCAAACTTCCCGGGTCCTGGGATTTTAAGGCGAGTTTTTAAGCAGCTGTTGTCATCGAAGTGAAAACGGGCCTTGACGTGGGCACGAGCCAAGGTTTAGTTAAGAGGCAGGAAAAGGCC